CGCGATATAGAATAAAATGTCTTTTATTGATCAATGAACATTATTACAAATAGTCAATTCTACAATAATTAATTGGCTCTAGGGCACCTACTCTAACATAATCAAGTCGATATTAGTACAACTGATTTAATTTCCCATTTGCATTTACCATTCAAAGCTGCACTAATCTAACTCTTACAATCTGTTTTGGCAATAGGTTGTTTTTTCAAGGTATTTCTGGATTTACATCTCTCCTTCCCAGAAAAAGAACAAGCCACTGTCACGTATCTCATCTCCTCATCATCACTTTTCTTTGACGTACGTATCATTGCTTCAAAACCCATTTTGTTACCATATCTTTTGTAATACTTCACTAGACTATCAACTGAATCAATCACCATTCCAATATGAGGCTTCACTTCTTCCTCCGCACATCCCATATCTTCTAATTCATCACATTCATTTTCCTAATCATTTAATAGTTTCATAATGGACAAAATTAGAATGTACTAATACAACACATCATAAGAAACAATACGATACAACAAATTTATAATCATGTTAACAAAAAAGTTTAGGTTTCAAGCAGTTTACCTCAACATCATTGAAATGAGGCAAATTGGACTCTTCCATATTTTGTAATTTCATGCAAAACTAATACTAGTGTTCACATTCACGAATCTGATTCATAATAATCATCAACAAATATTCTCTATCAATTATTTTCTATTGTAACATATATTCAATCCAAAATAAAATACAAAACTAAATAAATGCATAAATTAAATAAAAAACTCTTTAACTACCTCAACAAATCTTTCTAATCTGAGAAAATTTTGATCTGCCTAACTACCTTTCCACCTTAGACGATTGTTTCATGAAAAATTGGTGGCTTTCTTTCTTGTCACGATAGCTGGTTGTTGGCTGTTGAGGAAGAAACTGGTTGTGGTTGTTGAGAAAGAAACTGATACAACACTAAATATAACACGCAGACGAGAAGAAAAGACGAGAACGATGAAGACGAAAGGTAATAGCTATAAAATGAATTTTTTTTTTAAATTTCGTGTAAAAATTTTGGCGTTTATTTTGGAGAATCGTATTAGACAAGCTAATGCTTTTTACAAATAGAAAAAAATGTAAAAAAAAAAAAAAAACATGTTATTTGCTTATAGACAGTCGTCCATATTATATGGACGACCATCCATTTAATATGGACGCCCATCTGTATTATATGGACAGGCATCCATTATTCTATTACAAATTGTTTACAAACCAAAAAACGCAATTGAACAGCCTTCTTCCTTTCATGTTTGTGCATCTTCATCTTTCTCTCCTGATTTTCTTTGGTTGGACCAACCCAACTCGCTTGGAAGGCTTCATCCGGGTAGCTCATTCCTTTTTTTTCGGCTGTTTGGATTACTAAAAAACCAAACTGAAAGCATGGATTGAAGACTTGGATGAGGAAGAAGTGTTTGAAGAGAAGATATACTTTTTTTTTTTTCCTACTATGGACGGGTGTCCAAAAATTTTGTTTTATAAGTTTTTGTTTAATTTAAAGTGTGGATGCGCGCCCATTATATGTGGACGCCCATCCATTATTAAGGGACGCCCGTCCATAACAGATGAATCGGCGTCCATTAAGTTTGTTTATAATTTTTTTAAAATTGAAAGTTTGGACGGGCATCCACTAAAGGTGGATGCCCGTCCATTATTAACGGACACCCGTCCATAACATATGAACAGGCGTCCATTAATTTTGTTTATAATTTTTTTTTAATTTAAAGTTTGGATGGGCGTCCATTAAAGGTGGTCGCCCGTCTATTGAATATAGACGGAAGTCTATGATTTTTGTTTTCAAATTTTTTTTAATTTAAACTATGGACAGGCGTCCATTATAGGTGGACACCCGTCCATATAATATAGACGGAAGTCCATCGTTTATTTTGCATGAACGGACATCCACCTTTGATGGACGTCTATCCAATAATAGTGAATTGTCGTCCATAGTTGATGAACGGTCGTTCACTTACAAAATATTTGTTAAAGTGATACGTGGCTGGTCTGAGTCAGGTGACACATAATTCGGTGTAAAAATTCGGTGCACAGTCCCAGTGTCCGTAGCATTATTGCTATACAATAGCCAGCTAAGCTTGCTTGTTTCTGGTTTAATTAAAAATATGTACGCTCAACAACTCCTCTGCCTGCCTTTCCCTAGCATGTTTATTTAATTATCTATTTTAATCAAATATTATTACTAATGTTTTTGACGCTACCAATCATTATCAAGAATCTTTCTCCCTTCCAATGGCTTTCTGTCTACTGATTTTATTTTAAAACTTAACAGTGTTGGTAGTTGTGTTAGAACCAATTCTGTTATCCAATGATATTTATGTTTCAGCTCTTTATTAGTTATTAGTGTTTAAACTGTTTCTCATGAGTTGTTATTGATTTAGTTGGGTTCTAAATATAGAAATTCATTGTTCAGTCTCTCTCAAATTTATCATGTTAGGTTGAAAATTTAAATAACTCAAGAAGTCGATCTTATTTTGCAGATACTCAGTGTAGCTGCTACCTAAGTTTTACAATCTTGGATTTCCTGTTTTCACCTATGCAAGAGTTTCTAGTTTTGCATAGTTACTGTCACAATTGTGACTGGTGGACCTCAATAGAAATCTATCAGCACCATGTTTGGAATTTCTTGGACCATTGAGGATTGCGAGAAGATGATATGTATCTTGTTAACAAGTTTGCTTACCATGCTCCTAAAGTGATCTCTTGCTTTAGTACACCTTTTGATAAGATCAAGTTTTTGTTTTTTTCCTACTACTGTCGGTTTCATTGCTTTATCTTTTTTATGGGGCAAGTAGCCAAGTGTCCTTTACCTCAGGCAAATGTTTTTGCTTGAATAAAATAACGCTTTGAAATTTCTCTGTGGCATCTAGAGCTTTACGAGGTTTTGGTATTTGGGAGGAAAGTGGGTCGTGCTCACTGTGCAATGACATTGTTATGCGTGTCTGCGATTCAGTGAAGAGTAAAATTGCTTTTATCACTCCATCTTACAACCATCTTTTAAAATTCTAATCGGTAGTTTTGTTGACAATTAATACATCAGCTCTCACCACATTCAAAACATTAAATAACTTTAAATAGACACACAATTAACACATCAACTCTCACCATGTTCAAAACATTAAATAACTTTGAATAGGCATGAATGATCGTTTCTTAGAGACGAACCTCATAGAAAATGATCATTCCTTATGAAGTAACAATCATTCGTTCATAAAGAATAATCATTCCTTATGAATGAAACAATCATTTCTTATGAATGAACGATCGTTCGTCCTTAAAAAACAATTGTTCATGTTTAATCAAAGTCGTCAATTGATGTGGTAGTATCAACTCTACTATCATGTTAGGATTATAAGATAATGTTGTGAGATTGAGTTGTATTTATAGTATTTTGGTTTAATGGATTTGGCTGTTGCTAAACCACCTAACAATGTTGTCATGGCTTCTTATACTCATATTTCTTTTCTTCACTGTTAAATAAACAGTCTTATTGCCCTTCTTATTATTGCCCTTCTTATGATTACAAGGCTGAAAAAAAAAAAAAAGCAATTGCAGTAGTAGCAAAAATAATTAAGTTTTCTGGGTAATGTTATCAGTTAAATCTCTTACTTGAAAGGTATTCAGTTTTTTTAAATTTCTACATGAGAAATGATGGGAATGGGATGTAGTGCATGGTTTTAAAAAAAAAAAAAAAAAAAAAAACAAGAGAGAGAGAGATATAGAGAGAAAACAATCTTTTACAAGTAGTTTGGCATGTGAAAAAGGAAAAGAAAAAGTTGGAAATGAAGGGAATGGGCATCTGCAAGATGTTTTCTTGAAAAACTTTTAGGTGGAACCGATAAATGCTATGTTATCTGTACATATCTTTTGAATAAACCTTTCTCTATCTGTTTATTATTTTATGGTAATTTTGAAAGTGAGTGAATTTGATTGAACAAGTGGTACAGTTGATGTATGATGTAGTGGTTTGGTTGACAAGAAGTCAAGAAGCATCAAGATGATTAGGGCCCGGTGGGTGAGCCTATTGGTGGCATAGGAGTTGGGGTACAAGATACCTGCAGTCACAACTTTAATGACTGCTTTGATTATTTATGCCCATTTAATCAATTCTTACCAAAAACAGCTACCATTTTTAGCTTTCCAAATTGGCAAGTTTAATTGAAGAGGGCAAAACATGCAGATTAGCTGGACTGTCTTTCTTTGGGTTTCCATCTTGAACCTTTACTATCTTTGTCACATGACAACAAATGTGTCCCAAATTGAAGGAATGTAGGTGAGATTATAAATTTGTAAAAGGGATACAAATAATTGTCACTATCAATCTGAATTATTGAAAAAAAAAAAAAACAAATAAAGCAAGCTGTAATTTGATCAAAAGTATCAAGTTTGATTGATTGTCATAGAAAATGTGTGGGCGTGTGGTTTATAAGAGCTTGGGCACCCTCTCCACAAAAGGACCACTATCTAACCCAATTCTTATTAATTTGAAAGTAGATTCCTATCTAATGGTATTAAGCTCCAGACAAAGTGAAGCCATCTAGAGTGGGCCTACGTCCTTTCGGAAGGGACAACCTGTGGTTTATAAAGGTTTTAACACCCTCTTTTGACAAGCCGATTTTCTAAGGAGAATTCTACCCAAACCCATAAAAAGATCATTGTCTAACTCAATTCATATCAAAGGCCCACTACTCAGTTCAATTCCTATTAATTTGAAAGTAGGTTCCTATCAATGTTTAATTTGTAAGACACTCGATCAACTAAGGAAAATATGATATGAAGGGAAAATTAGAATTCAAAACCAATTTTTTTTTCTTCTATTGATGGGAGGTCTAATAATTGACTGGTTCTTTTCATTGTATGAATTGAAATATGATTCAATCTTTATATTCAACGAGTTGTTTAACACGGTTTTAATTATTGAGAATGAGACGCGGAATGAATGAGAGAGAGAATGAATTAACTTATTATTAACAGAACTTACAATTAAAGTAGCAGCAAGACAGATTACAAACCATGCACACATTACATAAAGCAAATTTAATGAAACTGCTATTCCTGGCAAGTTGAGGAGCTCTTTGTAGCCTCTTTCTGGGTGTTCTACCAGATGTCGTGCACATATGCTCAACTTTTGCAGCAGAGAATTTGTCATAGACAATTCATAAAAGAAACAGGAATTGCATTTCTTGCAAATAAAACATAGAACGGGAGCTCTCAGAAAACGTTCACTTGAAGATCTTGTAGTTCAGGATCCACAACTTTATCTTCTTTCTGATCAGCATCAGTTGTGAAGATAGGAGCATCAAGTTCAGGCGGGTTCTGGAAATGAGTTTAAATAATTATGAGTTTCAAATTGAATGCCTTACTAAAGCTAGTTCATAATGCAAATTTCTGATATCTATTTCTACTTGTAGATTTAGAAGGATTTGGTAATGTTACCATGCAGCGAACTAGTGCCCAGTTCACACCCTTGAAAAATGGGTGCTTCTTAACTTCGTTTGCTCCTTCACGTGAACCTAATCTGTTTTTGGGATCTCTGTGCAACAGCCTGTACATCAGCTGCTTTGCATGGAGACTTACCTGCACCAAGACAAAATGTGAATCAGTGTACACCAGGCAGTTTGATTATAATGCTAGCCACTAAACATTTTCTTTAGTGCCACTAGTCGGTTAACAAATAAGTTCTGCCAGTTCTTGCATAAGTGCACATCACAATCACATATTGCTAGACAAAAAAAAAGAAAAAAATTGCTAATTGAAGACAAGTCTTTGTGCAGATATTTGATAAACAAATTTATGACTGAAGAAGGCCGACTGCCATGGGTAGCTGCTAGTCTTAAGTATTTTTAAAGCCTTGAGCAGGGTCATGTATACAAAGCATAGTTGGGAACGGGAAAGGAGTTCCTGACATAGGCAGCAAACCGAGAAGTTTTAAGGAAAACATGTGTTTTTAAATAGCTTATACAGCTAGTTTATGTTTGCATTTCTCTGAATGCGGTGTTAATGCACATTGTTTTACTTCTACTTCATAACACCAACAACATGAGAGTATTGCATTAGCGTTCATATGAAGTATTAAATGACTGAAAGAAACATATGACGATAAAATATCTCACCGGTGTTCTTCCTGGAAATTTAAGATCCTTGTGAAGAATATTTGCAAATGTTTTTTGTCTTGTCTTTCCCCTAAATGGTGTATATCCATATAGCATCTCATAGAGAAGAATTCCTGATAATTAAAAAGCATTAAATAATAGTAGCTAGGTAAGTAACAGAAGAATGACTAGAAAAGCATTGTTCCCGAGAAAAGATCTGCACTAATATTATTGCTGCTTCTTAAAAGAAAATGGAATTACCAAGAGCCCACCAGTCCACTGCACTAGAATGGCCTGCCCCAGCTATAATTTCCTGCAAAGAGTTGCAGAAACAAATGCACTTTTAATAGTATATCCAGAAATATTAGGAGAATGAAATTGAAATTTGATCCCAAACAATTGCTTCAACTGGTAAGAGATGAAACAAAATTACTTCTTGGAGACTGCCAAGAGGAAAAAATAAAATGAAATCTATAATGAAAAAGATTGAATATGTGCAACCAAAACCATATCTTGATATACATATGGTCCTCAACATCATGTGACATTACTTCAACAAGAAAGATGCAACAGGCATATCTAGAGGTCCACAAATTTGCACGGGATGTGTTAAAAATGTAAATGTACCGGAGCTATATATTCTTCTGTGCCAACGAAAGAATTGGATGCTCGCATAGGTTCAGCCATAAAGATTGGATTCTGCTGATTTCTGTGGTGCTTTTTCTTTTCATTTGCAGTTGGCATTAAAAGCTTCAAATAGCAGAACAAGCATATCAGGTTTCTGTTATCAAAAAATCCTCGACTATTAACAAAATAAGATTCTTAAAAGGTATATATAAAAAAGAAAGTTGAAAAACCTGTGGTTTACAAGATGTTAAACATGATAAATCAAAGTCTGTCAACGACACATGCCCATTGCTCTGGAGTAAAACATTTTCAGGCTTTAAGTCCCTGTATATAATCCCTGCATTTGGTATAACAAAAGGACTCAGTAAAGAAATAGAACTGTGCCAGGAGCTAAATAACACACATTTTAGCAGCACTATAAGTTATTTGATTCACTTTGGAGATAATAATTTAGAAGCTGCAGATTTTATGGGCACGGCATAATGTTATCAAGAGCCTGAGTATGCTAAGATATTTTATTTTGATTGATTATCAACTAAACTCTACCTTGAAAGTGTAGATACTCCAATGCCACAACTACCTCTGCGGCATAGAATCTACAATCACCAACAATACATGTCAGTTAAGAAATAAAGTGTTCGCAATATATTCAAAAATAAGGTATGATAAATTCATTGTGACAATCAATAATTCTACATGCAGTATTTGAGTCTTAAATGTCTTGTGATGAACTATGACCTAATCTGAATTACCTCACTGCATCCTCCTTCAGGACCTTCGTGGGTTGTCTATCCAAAAGCAAGAAAAGCTCCCCACCCGGGCAGTAATCAGTTATCAGACAAATATGTGTTTTTGTCTGCAAAGTTGACTAATATTAGATTAATCCAACATAAACATATCAATGTAAATGTAATTCTACAGAAGCATGTCTGCATGTGCTCCATTGTAAATTGAGAACTAGATATGGCACAAAGGCAATGAGTAAGAAGTTGGATATATGAAAAAGAATAAAGAGGCTGGCTTTACAAAAATAAACATCATGGAATATGGTGACAAATATATTTTTAAACTCAATACTGTGAGCAAATGAGCCCCATATCACCTACAAAGTATCAGCTTCCTTAATAGATATTTTTCAACTATCAGTTCACAAAATTGGGCTGCCACAGTAGTAACAGGCCCCAGAGCTATCATGAAATCAATACAATCTTATAAATTCCTGAAATTTATAGTTGACCAACCTGAAATGAGGCATATAATGCAGGAAGGAATGGATGGTCCAACATGTCGAGAATCTCTCTCTCTGCACAAGCCCTATGCACCTGCAACAAAGAAGTCATATAAAGAGACATGAATAAGGGACAGTTCTGTGGGCAATCTATGAAGAACGATAGTGAAACTAATTAGCTGTTGATGAGTTAAGTTCCGAATTTTAGGGTAATTCATCATAATCAAAGTTATCTTCTCCTTATATTCCAAAGATACAGATTTATTAAGAAAAAATCTCTTTGGCCCTGGTGGTGTAGCAGTATTGTCCTACAAATATGCCCACCATGACATAGCAGACACAAGACTACTACTGGATTCCTAAGTTCAATTGCAAGGAAAACAAAATGGTTCAGCACCATGTAGAAACGGAGAAGTCATAATTGAGTTCAGTCAGCCAACAATCAGCAATACTTTGGATAGCCAAAAACGATAATACTAAACCCAATAAAAAATGATATTACCAGCTGGAGTTTTTCTATCTGCAAATAAATGTGAAAAGAAAAGCAGACAAGTCAGTTTAAATACCTTGTTGCGGTTGAGCATAACACCCTTATCCATAGCTTTCATGGCAAAGAACTGACCAGTTCCACACAACTCAACCAAATGCACACTGCCATGCCATTCAATAACTCAATTAATCAATTAGAACCACACATCAAATTCTGACATACCACAGAAAATGAGGCAAAAAGCAGAAAAATTGGAGAAACAAACCAACCTGCCGGTATCACCAGATCCCAGAGGTTTTATTGGCCTAAAATGTTGTAGACCTATCTGTTCTCCACTATCTTGAATCTGCCATATTATGTAATTGAACAATTACAGACCAACAAGACGAACATTAAAGAATCCATACAATTTAAAAGGATAATGAATGGTTGTACCTTTTGAATAGCTTTCCAACAGGGTGTATCCTTCCTATGAGGCTTTGGCTGAACCAACTTTGAGTGATTTATCCATAAATCTTCTGGTTTCTGAATAGGTAGTAAAACTTGTTGTCACAAACTTATAGTTGAGCCCATAAAACTTTTCTTGATTAGTAAAATTGAAACTGGTCATTACCAAATTGGCATCTGGAAGTTCTCTCACTGCATCATCAACATTCTCTGCCGTTTGTCTCACCTGATAATATGTATCAACCACAACACACTTATTCTAGGTATGGGTAAGCCAACAGTGAAATACATAATTCTATTCACTAGCTATACGAAATACATATATAAGGTTAACAATCCAAAAGAATTCAAAGCAGAGGGAAAAAAGAAAACATAAAAATAAGCACTTGCAGAGAGCTGATACCAATTTTTCACTCTCTTTTGCAGTGTCCTCGAGAATACTGTTGCGAAGTGGCTCAACGTGCTCGCTTCCGTCTAGTTGTACTCCAATAAAATACTGCACTTCTCCCTGTTCATCCACACAAGTAGAAAGTTAACTAAATTTTCGTTCTATTGATGGGAAAAATGCTACAGGTAACTAGCATGACTATCTTTGCCTTTCATAACAAAACATAAATTTCTCATTTAAAGTTTAGACTGCACCTTTTGGTCACGCATAGGCTGCAGATGGAACAAGTTCCAGAACTTCTTGCCTGGATTTAATGCAAAAGGCAAATAATTAACTCCAAGGCGAATGAAAATTAAAACATTGTATTCTCTAATTATAACAAATTAACTCTCATTCTGAAGAATAATTTAGTAACTCAAAAGAATAGCAACCGTGAACATACCACTCTTGGTGTAGTTAATTAGCTGCACAGTAACTTCAGTCTGGTTATCAATTGCGTTTCTTATCTTCCTCACAGTGGCGGGATCAGTTTCAGGGCCTTGGAGAAACCTATGATAATTGTAGATTACAGTAATCTTATAAATTGTATCTGTGTGGAATGTTATTCAAATCAAGAAACCTGCCTGCTTTCACATGCATTCTAGTCAGAATTAATTCAGCATGTCCCTGAAATAGTTACTAATTTCCCATGTTTATATCTGTACCAAAAATAATTTTATAAACAACTTTCCAGCAACTAAACAGTATTTCATGAAAAGTGATTAAAAAAAGTGTACTATGTATACAATTTTTAAGGGGTTGTTTGGGTGCCGTGTGTCTTCATTTTGATGAAAAGTAACAAATTCACAGATCCCGAAAGATATATATATTTCTCTCGAGATGACCTTGCAAAAGGGCACCTAGGGCCGATTGCTTTGGTGTTGGTTCATGCAACCGCCCTTTGGATTGCATGAATATGGCTGCGGGATACGAGCCCGCTTACCTGTTTCCTCCGTCCAAGTGGGGATTTACACGTGTAGAAACAGACATCAGATTGCAGACACACATAATACCATACACATACCTGCTTTGATTTGGTTCAATTCACTTATGGTGCGTCCAGATCCAATACTTAGTTCGTTCAGAGTGCAAATTTTGAGTTTTATTTTGACATAGAAGGAAACTCAATTTTTATATTTGGCCGGAGTAACTGATGGTACTAAAAGAAAACATTAGAAAGTGCATTTATTTTCAATCAAACGCTATAAAAATCACTCGTAAAAAATGTTATATGCACAAGTACCGGAATTTCGAAGCATGTATATATAAATACCTGCAATTTCTTCCCAAGATTTCTTCACGGCTGTACTCTGTCAGCTCCAGGAAGCTATCAGAGGCAAAAATCTGAAATTTCAAAGTAGAAAAAAAGTTTTGTCACTTCTTAATTTACCAATTCGCATATATCCCCAGAGGATTATAAATTCTTAATTAAGGAAAGAAAAGCAATAGTTGAAGTAATATTCTTACAATGGGATTATCAGGCAACCTGGGATCCGTAATGACAAAGTTCTTCTCTATACGTTCAAGTGTGGTAGCCAGATCAATACCTTTTCTCATTTCCTTCTTTCTTACTTTGTCATCAACAGTATCAGGTCTCTCATCATCGCTCTCGTCATAATCCATAAGAACTCCATTGTCAAAGCTATCATTAGCTGCTGATTGAGTACTTTTCCGATTGATAATCCTAAACATATGTACCCATAAAAACAAGCCAAATATCAAGTTGCATGCATTTTACTTATCATTATAAATCATAAGATCAAAAAAGTAATTATTAATTACCCCATGAAAGAAAGACGACTCGATTTTCTGGGTTTCTTTTCAGGGACCTCAACGATACGTTGCATGGAGGCTCTAGGACCACCATGTGAATTCCTTCTGTGAGGAGGTACATTTTCTGAGTTTCTTCTTCCAGCTGATCCGAGGGCTCCGGATCTTTCCTCTTCTGCACCACCTTCTGATTTTCTAAACAGTGGACGATTTGTTGATTCGCTTAGTGAGCGAGGTTTCCTCACTGCTTGCACAAGTTCAGTCACTGAACTCGTAGCGACTTCCTTCTGCCGGGCTGCAAAACTTTACTTCTGAGACTTCCTCAATAATCACATATAGCTTCTGTTATTCAGTTAGGTAGCTATAAATTTTGGCGCCAACCCATGGATATAATAAATTCATCCCATCCCACCGTACGTCATATATATTTCTATTTTTTATATTAATTTAAAGAATATCTATTTTGATCTTAAGGAAAATGAAATAAGTAACGTACGTACCATCGTATCGAATCAAAGACTCGGGCAATCCATTTGGACGCAGCGACTTATCCTTGGTCCCTTCTGTGTGCTTACTCACCTCCACTTGCATTCTGCCATCATCACAAACAGACAGATCAATCTCTCCATTACCGTCCATTCACAATCAGCCATTACCAAACAGTTTATCATAATTGAATGGATAAGTTCATCTATCAGATTGTCCCACGACGTGCCATCAATTTCAATATCTGTGTGTGACAAAGGATCATGGTGGTGACCATCCTGTGCTAGCGAAAAAGCTTCAATAATTGGGGGAGAATTGGAACGAACCTCATTCTGTTTCACCTTTTATTCTCATCAAACTATCCTTTACATGTCGTGGGACATCATCACATACGCTACCTATCCTAAACAAAAATTCTGAATACACTACGATATTCATAAATACTGTAAATTATATGAGAAGGTAAATACAGAAACTAACCCAATAAATTTAAGGACTTTGCCTTCTTCATCCTTGATGGGTGCAATGGTGAGAAGGTTCCAAAATGGTGTCCCATCTTTCTTATAATTCAGTAGCCTTCCACAGTAAGTCTGACCCGCTTCTAATGCCTCCCTAATCTTCGCCACATCTTCCGGGTCCGTACCCGCACCTTGTAAAAACCGACTTCACCCACAATAAAATGTCAATATTACCCTTGAAGACCGTTATCACAGTTATCTGACCAAAAAACAGTTGAATATATAATTATATTTACCAGTTCCTTCCCACAACCTCTTTAGAGGTATATCCGGTCATCTTAAAGAACCCTGCACTTGCATACATAATCGGGAAGTCGGATTTGGTAGCATCCGACACAACAAACGTTTGTTGAAATGTTGATAATGCATCTTTCAAGTCCTCCGACACTCTTGGAAAACCTCTTTCTCTGCTTCCCTCATCCGACATTTCACCCGAGCTCCGAACCGAATTATTTGAATTCCTTCGGGAAGTACCCGGTTTGTTATTCGGTTCCTCCCCGCCCGAAGTCCTAACCCCCACCCCTTGCGGTTTTCCCGTTTCATTATCCGTTTTCAACACTAGGCCCCATTCCGCGGCCCTCTGAGCTGCCACACCAACTTCACCAGATAGTTGCTTAGTAACCGTAGATTTTTCATGATCCTTGGTGATCTTCGGTGCCAACGGTGAGGATAACGGAGATGACTGTGGTGGAGCAGGGTCCTTGAGGGCCATCCAAGAAGTGGTGATCTCTTCGGTTCGACCCGATTTGGAGTTGAGCATGTTCGGGTCGGGTTCCGTGCTGCTGCGTTGCTCTATCCAACTTTGCCATGTGGACGGATTCTGATTAGGGCGAACTGCCGCGTTGGTGGGTCGGGTAGAGTAAGTTGAGGGATTAAAAACCTCGAGTGAGCCACGTGAATCTCTTGGCACTTTAGGTGATTGTTTGGATGATTTTTCTGATGGGTCCATTGCTGCCCAGAAATAATCTACCAATAAATCAGCATCATATACAATAAAATATGTGTGATTCACAGAATATAATATTGCTGGGTACTCAAAAGAGTATATTGAGTTCTAATATAGATTTTTTCTTACTATATAAATGGCTGTGGGACATTGGTATGAACTAAACAAGGAGATAACGAGTGATGTTTTGGACCCGAAATGTGAGGTGGGAGAGAAACAAAATAATAGAACTGAAAATGAAAATGGATCAGTTGGAAATGATTTACACCACTAATTTCTGATAATACATAATTGGTTAGGTGAGTAGAACCGTAGAAGAAGAAACTTTGAGCAGCTCATATTTTTTTCTGGGTGCAATCTTTGCAGGACTGACTGGTGAGACTGAGAATGTTGGAATCCACACTCAAAATAGTAATTAAAACATGTCTACACTAAAGAAAATGACAAGGGTAGTTCGCTCATTAATTAAAGAAAGGTACCCACTACAGCTTTTTCCTGTCTGTGCATGAGAATGAAAGATAACTAAAAAGTTTAAAACTATTGTAACCGTAAAACTCAAGAGTAAACATGAACATGAATATGATCAACATCGTCTTTAGCAAAATTATAATTAAAGAGTACCTGAGCAAGTAGCTGAGTGTGTTGGATCGGATCTTCTGAATTGAGCAAGTAATTAAACTGCTGAACTTTACTGAAAGATGATTATAATAAGCAAAAAGTACAGCAGTTGAAGAGAGAGGAAGAGAGTACTCAGAGAAGGAGAAGCGACTAGAAACGTCTTTTTAATGGCAAAAAGACTGAGAAAAGATCAAAGAATGATTGTCGAAAAGGTTTGGCTCCCCATCCCTGTACACAGAAATTTCACATGGCTTATGCTCGCATCCCTATAGGCGTCATCAATCATGATTCATGAAGCATTAAAAATGTTTTCAGAAAACAAATTGTAGTGTTATCTGTTTCGCAAATAATTACTCACCATACCGAAAATATATATGTTTTTTGGTAAGGTAATGGTTCTACAGAGTGGAAATGGGTTGGCAACAAAAAACACAAAGCAGAACCAGAAATAGAAGGAAATAGAGTCCTATAAATTGCACGTTGAGACTTGCAGGCTTTACCGACCAAGCTCTACTTGGACAATGCTTCTTGTGTCTCCGTGTCTCACTAGTGGCAAGAAATCTTGGGATGATAATCGCTCTTAAATTTTTTTTTACTCCTTTTATTCTTTCTGAATTTTTGTTTAGTCCTCTAACTTGTTAACTAATTTAACATCACATCACGTCCATTGGTTTTATCAATATAAATAAAAAATCTATTTAATTAATTTCATAAAAATATATCTAATTTAGCATTTCATTTCTAATCACATTATCATTTAAGTTAATTATTTTACTAAAATATAAGTAATTCAAATTATTAAGAATTACGTTAATCAATTCAATTCTGACTTTATAAAGATTAAATTATGGAAGTTGGAAGATTCATGAAATTTACACTATCCAATGTAGATTTTGAACGAGAAAATATATCATGTAATTGATTCGAATTCTTAAAAAAAAAAAAAAAAATGATTGTTTCAGATGCAGAGAAAATTACAAAAATGTTTTAATAATTGCATAACACTAGCTATATCTAGCTACTTTTCGTCCTGTCCTTTCAGAAAAGTGAACTGTACAAACAGTAGAGAAACTACCGTATATGTTTGGAGAATGTGGTGCGACAGCCTGCTGTGAAAAGAAATAAAAGATTTATGTGAAACTGTTTCACTTTGTACAAAGGCCTTTTATAAGGGTCGTAATACATCTAGCATTTTTCTACGAAGGAATAGTTTTCTATATTATAAAAAATATTATATATTTTTAATTATTATATTTATAGTAAAAAAATTGTGTAAAACTTTTAAAAACCTTTATTAGGATGTATACAACTTAGTATGTCTGATATTAATCAATCTCAGTGGCGTTTGGTTGGAGGGTATCCTACTGAATTAATATCATCTTATATTACTTAAATTATCATATTTAATTATCAAATAATATAAAATTTCAGTAATTTTCTAAAACTAATGGTAATTATTATTGATTATATAGTTGGTAATTTGATTACCTTCATTTTTATAGGTATTTTAAGATTATTTATTTATGTTAATTTTGTTACAATTTTACCCCTTATTAATAATTTTTTTGGACAAAAATACCCTTATTTTGAAATTAATTTACTTGAACCTACCATTACAATTTTACGCCTAATTAGTTAAGTTTTTAGACATTAATGCATTTTTATTTAAAACAAATTACAGGTCACCCAAGACCACCACCGCCCGCTAGCAACCACCATTGGCTAACGTGGTCGGATTTGGCTGGTTGTGTGCTAATCTGGCCAGAAACGAGTACCGAAGATAATGGCCAAAATATGGCAATCAACGGCTTGATTTTGGTCGTAGATCTGGCCAGAAACGGCAATATCAGTGCATAACTGGCCAAATCCAACCAATCGTACACTGTTCCAGTGACTATCGACTGCAATTCGGCAATGGTGGCCGGTAGCTAGGGTGTTTTAGTTAATTTTTAAACTTTTATTATGAGGGTGTTCAACTAAATTAACGAATTTAGATGGTTAAAAAAATAATCTAAAATATTAATAAAATTAAAATAGAAGGGCAATTCAGTAATCTAAATAATATACCCACTAATTTATTCTTTCCAACCAGACATATAAATATAACATACCTACCAATTTATTCCAACCTAACCAAATACATTTCTCTAAACATTTCCAGTAATCTTCAAATTAGTCTATTTTCCCATTAATATAACATTTCCAACAATACAACATTCACTGGACCAAATACACCCTTATAACAATAAATAAACCCTTTAATTTTAAAACACTATCAAAATAATATACATATATATTCTAAACTAGTCTAGACCATTACACAAAACCCCCTTTTTTTTTTTATTATTATTTTTTTTTAATGGCAAGAGGTGTCCAAGTAGCTTGCGCACACCTCAACTAATCTCTCAAGACCTTAGAACTACCGACCAAGTAAGAGATCTAACAGCCACTCCTATAAGAAAGCGAGATAAATCGAATTCAAAACTTTTTAAGTAATATATCCAAGAATCCAAGTTGACCACTCGGTCACTCGGTGGTAGTTAAAAAAAAAAAAAAAAAAAAAACCCCAATTTTAGATCTTCACTTGTACATGTAAATTACAGATATTAGAAATTAGATAGGCATTTTCATGACTTATGTATTACAAATAAAGTAGAGCCAATTCCTAGTAAGAATCATTTATTGTGAAACGTCCTAAAGCATGGCAGAGTGAGGATTTGGAAGCATATAAAAGTATGCAGAACCCAAGATTATTAGAAGTTTTTACTCAAAATGAGATGATTTTAGTAATGAACAGAAATTAAATGAACGGATGGTGGGCTACCCCCCACATGCGGTAGGTCCAAACCACGTGAATAACCTTTAAATCAATCTTATCTATTCACGTTCACTGTGTTTCTTCTTCTTTTGTAGGGGCCAATCACATCAGTCATCACACACCCCCTGCTGTTGCCCAGTTGCCCTTTTCGTATCAGTCCCCACCCCCACCTTTCTTGTTTCATATCCACAACCACCTCCCCGGCCCCATTCACTTCAAATTCTTCAGCCGTGGGATTCATGCCTTCTTTCTCACCTTTCTTTCATTTTTACAGTGTTATAAGCAAAAGGCTTTACCACCACAGCATTGAACCTTTTTGCATCAAGAAAACGTGATTAATCTGGCAACTGTGAGGTAAGAATGCAATGGTTGGTGGATGGTGGTCCAATGTGTGCTTCTACTGGTGTTCCAAGTCTATCCCCAATCCTAAAAAAAATAAGCAAGAATCTAAACGATGCTTTGCGTTAAGTTGCTTTCTGTTTTCTCTATTGTTTGACCATTTTATTGGCATCTAATACTATCCATCTTGTCCTTTTCGAAACCATTTTATTGGGATGGTTGTCTTTCAAAAGCCACTACGAGTCCGGATACCACAAAATTTTTTGCATGTGTTGTATATCCAACTCAATTAGTAATAATATGATTAGTTGTTTTCAATAAAATTATTTTATTTATTAACAAACACATAGTGAATGGATGACATCACTATACTATCGACCTGAGTTTCTGGCATGTTTTTATGCTCCTTTCACTTTCTTACGAGCTCTTATAGCTTTAATAATATATAAATAAAAAGGGTTATTAACAATAATCTCCCTTAGTACCCACCTGTATAGCCACTACTACTCAAAACATTGTAAAGAAATCATATAAAATAACATAAGGAAATTGGGCCCAAATTTTTCTTTAAACATATATACATATCTTTACATACATATGCATTTTTACACAAAATATATATAACGTATACAAAAAGTCATCAAAACATCAGGGACAGTGGAACCACTCCTCCTCGCACGCCGACATCCATCCGACAGTTCCTCACCTAGGTCCTGCAAAACATGGAAAAACAACGGGGTGAGCACTAAAATAATGCTCGTAAGTAAATCCTCTACTCAAGCTATCCCCGTAACTCTCTCTTCATTCTTTCCTTACATCCTCGTTAAATATCTCTTTGGGTACATCTTTCTTTTCCTCTTTCTCTTTCCCTTAGAACTCTTTTCTAATAACTCTTTTCTAATAACTCTTTCATATGTCACGACCCCATCTCACCGGGGCACGGCCGGGACTCACTCCCGCTCTACGTGACCTCTATTCACTCTAGCCGATCGGACTCGGTTATGCATGGATTCGGAACCCTTGGCCCTGTGAGATATAATCTCTCTCTCTCGGGTACTCGGGTATGCCCTCATCGCCATCACTCTCACGGGCTACACCACTTCTCTATCTGATACTCATGCCGCTCTCTCAATGCGGCGTACATGCGGGAATACTCTACCCATTACTCACGGTTCCCCATCGCACAACCTACTCTATTCTCTTAACTCTTATCTCTTCAAGAACTTATACTCACATTCGATACTAAATCCAGATACTTCTCAAGTGTATAAACAAAGTGTAGAGCTATCTCATGCTCCCTAATGCACTATGAAATGCCAACTACAGATTTCCTCAAAACAGTCATTCTGCACCAGTCAACACAAACGGCCTAACTTATCTATACACCTCGGATTACTACGGTCTGGTCTCGTTTCAAAGCTTAGAAACAGGGCTACACTTCTCTGTTTTGGTCTCAGCCCAGTTCGAATGTAAGATACTCAAAAATTACTCAGAAAGTTACGGCAGTGACAGGGCAGATTTCACTTAGGCATTTCCTCAACATCTCATGTGCATATAAACACCCTACGAAAATTACTACTAAACTTCATTTTTCTAGCCACACAAATTGGGGAAAAACTCCCTCAATTACTCATAATCCCGCCAAGAAAAGCACTCCCAAAAAGCTTCACATAACATCTCTCAAACTTCATCTCAAACTCCATTCTCAATACACATATCAACAACACTTCTCATATTTAATCAATCCCACTACTAAGACTAAGCACACATCTCATTCAATTTTCAGTAGGTATACCATGTACATACATAATTAAATAAGTCTCTACTCAAAGCTTAGTCATAACTCAACTTGGTTGGATTTACTTACCTTGTGCAAAGATGGGTTCCTTGCACTTTTCCTTCCCTTTGTGGGCTTGTCTCTTCTCTACAACTCAAAACAACCACAAGGGCAGCAACAACACAATAAGACTTCACTATAAATACAAGAAAACTCACATCTAAGCATGATTCTTACCTTAGAAAGCTTTAGATGAATCTCTACTCAAAACCCCCTTAAATCCCTTAGAACTCTTGGAAAATTGGGTGGAGAAATTGAGAGAATATGGGCAATTGGAAGAGGCGGTGGAATGAAATGAATAAGGGCTTTCTCTACACTTTACTCTTTTTAATCATATTATAAGCTTCATTTCCCATTTTGCCCTGTCCTTTCTTGAAATTCCATCTATATCCTTTGATTCTTTACAACTACACCCCCCATTCAAACACAATCTCTACTAAATTTCCTTTCATTTTACTCCCCACTTTTCCTACTAATTAGGGGTAGAATGGTCATTGTGTCCCAAAAGAAGAATTCTCTAGAAAACTCAAGAATCTTTGTTTTAGGCTCTTCGCCGCGGCGAAGCATTTTCGTCGCCTCGGCGAAATAAGGCAGAATCTACCCGTAGTGCCACTTCTCCTCCTCGCCGCGGCGAAGTTTCTTCTTCGCCCCGGCGAAGTTTAAATTTCCAACTTCACCAAAACTCAACCCATTTCAAGGCAACAATTCAACCAACTCCACATACAAACTCAATTTAAGTTAAAACAATAAACTTTTAACTAATACGACAAATCTTAAATACGTACCTCAAGTGGGATATTACACCACCCATGGATAGTCCAACAATAAAAGCGAATCAAGAGAGTTATGCATGACTTCAACCCACAGTCTTAGGTTCGATTCTTCGTTAGGCGAAAAAATAGTATATTTGCTCATTATTTACCTGAGGGCTACAACGGTGGGTTGCTGTAGGATAAATTCCTTAAAAAGTAGTTAAGGTGCACGTAAACTGGCTCAAACACCTCAGTTAAAAAAAAAAAAAAAAAAAAAATCTCCCTTGGGTATTATTAAGTAACAAAATTCTCCCATTGATTATAGTAATGATAGAAGAGTAATACTACATTTACATCATCCACTACATCATTTTCATTACACCATCACTATTTTACTACTAATTATTTTATTATAATATTAAAAATTCAAAATAATTAAAAATTTGTGTGGATGTGGGATATGCCACATCATGGTGTAATGAAAATGGTGTAATGAATGGTGTAAATGTAGCATTACTCATGATAGAAATCCCTCTAATGTTAAAATGTTAAAATAAACTGCAAACGTATAATTAGATAAATATATATTAACCTGTCATGGTATAAATTCTAACGGTTCACTAACGTTAACAGAATTTATATTATTTGGCTAAACATTGGGGTCAAGAAAAACTTAATTATAATAAGTTAAAGATACAAGGCTTAGGATAGTCTTTAGCTTGATCTTTTGCTAGCGATTAATTAAAAAAAAAAAAAAAGGAAAATAAAATTCTATCAGGCACCTAAATAAATGTATCGTACCATAAAATATGTAAAAACTAAAGAAAACTTTATCTTAGTAAAAAGATCCTAATTCTAGATATTGAAAGTGGATAGACAATTGCGAACCGAAACGAATCCGACCCATGCCGCCGCAGATGTCGTGTAACTTTCGAAAGGGCAAATGTGGATCAACCCATTATACGTATGTTAATTTGTGGCCCAACAATGACCGCTTCCTAGATAGATAGCCATAGTTGAAAGCCCAAGGGCCGTACGTATTGCCTCCCCTCCTGTGTACCTCTTTTATGGCTTTTAAGCCCACTTGTTGATGTTCCAGCCAGCGACATTACCCCATAACCAATCAAGCACAAATGACAAGCTACTTGGCTTAATATGTACCTCAACTAATCTTTCAAGACTCTGAAACTATCGGTCGAATGAAAGTTTTGGTGACTACCCTTATTAGCAACTAGTGATGGCAATGGGCTGGGCCGAGACCAGGTACCCCTTGGCCCAGGCCTAAGCCCAACCTCATGATAAAGGCCCAAGCCCGAGCCCATCACAAGTATGACAGATAAAGCCCAAGCCCGACCCGACGGCTTTTGTAACCTCAAGCCCAGCCTAAGCCCGCCCATTTTTATAATGTGAATTTTTAAATATTAATAAATTTCAAAAAAATATATATATTTTTTATTCTAGAAACAATTTTTAAATATTAATTTATTTTTGAATACTCACCAAGTATATAAATAACTTTCCACAAAGTGCATCTATCCATCCATGTAGGGTTTGGGAAAAATGAGTATATATATGTAGTATAATCTTGTAATTAAATATATAGTATAAGGATAATTTAGTATAATTAATATTAAAATTGTCGGGCCGGGCCTGAAGACATACCCAAGCTCAGCCCGTACCAGAGGTCGAGCCTTAAAATCAAGCTCAAGCCCAAGCCCAAGCCCGCGAGCATCATGTAAAGCCCGACCTTTTCGGGTTGGGCCGAGTACCCTAAAATATCGAGTCCATTGCCATCTCTATTAGCAACTGATGAGAGACTCAAACTTAGGACGGTCACCTAGAGGTCGTTAAGAGTTAAGACCAATAATTTTTCCTAATGTAAAACAAAAAATAAATATATAAACTTTCAATCTTATAAAGATTTGTCAAAATGGTTTATAAAACTAAATTATGGAAAGAAAAAAATACTCCTACCACAAGTCCACTTTTACAGACAAACTACTCTCAATTGTGTTCGTATATAATCCATGCTTAAAGAACATGCGTAAGGTTATAACGAGATATAGGACCCAACAATTGCCCATCAATATAGCAAATACTCAACATGTAGACAGATGAGAAATAGATGCATTCAAATTCATAAGTTATATTATAAGAAATTAAATCTCCTAAAAAATTATATGATCATGATTCATGACAGAAAAAAAAAATATATATATATATATATATATTAAGAGAGTAGAAAATATATGCACACAACAACACATGAATGAACTTGTTTCTTCTTGATCCGAAGAATGCTCAGTCCAAGCTCTCTTTCCACATCTTTTTTGCCTTATTTCACAAGGATTTAGAACTGAAAACATGGGAATTACTACACCTACAACAAGAAAAACAAAATGGAAAACAAAGAAGATAATAACCCTCATGAACAAATGAATTCCACCCGGCTCTGCTTTCCACCAGCAGGAATTAGAGGCACAATTGTTTGGTTGTTCATCCTCATCTCCACTCTTTACATTCTCTATTCCTCAAACTTCCTGTTAAACAAATATGTCCAAGTCTGTAAAGACGCCAACCATCTCAGTAAAAACTCATCCTTATCCACTTCTCTCAAACTCGACCAAGAAGAAGAAGGCGAAAACAGAGTCTACCCCAAGAAACCAAAAATATACGACACGGAGCTTAAGCACATTGTGTTTGGGATTGCAGCTTCATCAAATTTGTGGGAGAGAAGAAAAGAGTACATAAAAGTATGGTGGAGGCCTAAGGAGACAAGAGGGGTAGTTTGGGTGGATAAAGAAGTGAGTAGTAGTACAAGTGAAGGGTTGCCTGAGACAAGAGTTTCAGGAGAAACATCACAATTCAGCTATTCTAACATTCAGGGACATAGATCAGCATTAAGGATATCGAGAGTTGTATCGGAGATGTTTAGGCTTGGAATGGAGGATGTGAGGTGGTTTGTGATGGGTGATGATGATACAGTTTTTGTGGTGGAAAATGTGGTGAGAATACTTTCTAAATATGACCACACACAGTTTTATTACGTTGGGAGTTCATCAGAGAGTCATATTCAGAATATATATTTTTCATATTCTATGGCATATGGTGGCGGTGGATTTGCAATAAGCTATCCATTGGCAAAGGAATTGCAGAAAATGCAGGACAGATGCATACAGAGATATCCCGGATTGTATGGCAGCGACGACAGGATTCATGCTTGTATGGCTGAGCTCGGTGTGCCTCTCACAAAGGAATTTGGCTTTCATCAGGTAAATTAAATTCTCTATTTATTTAGAAATTTAATGAGGAAAATGATGTTCATGTATGATTCAAATCAAATTTGCAGTATGATCTATATGGAGACCTATTAGGCCTTCTAGCAGCTCATCCTGTGACTCCATTGGTGTCATTGCATCATCTAGATGTAGTGGAACCGATATTTCCAGGCATGAATCGAGTCAAAGCCATGCAACACTTATTTCAATCTGTCAACATCGACTCAGCCAGTATAATACAACAGTCTATCTGCTATGACCACACACGATCCTGGTCCATCTCTGTGTCATGGGGTTTCGTGGTTCAAATCTTTAGAGGAATTATCTCTCCAAGGGAGCTTGAAAGACCGTCAAGAACATTTCTCAATTGGTACAAGAGAGCTGATTACACAGCTTATGCATTCAACACTAGGCCTATGGCCAAGCACCCCTGTCAACACCCCTTTATTTTTTATATGCACAAGGTTAGCTATCACAAGGCTAGCAACCAAACAGTTGGATTTTACAATCGCCATGAATCTCGCCGCCGCTATTGCAGATGGAAGTTGGAGTCTCCAGAGACAGTTGACACCGTTGTAGTCTTCAAAAAGCCAGATCCTCAACGTTGGCAGAAGGTAAGAAGAAACATGATATATATTTGCAGGAAGCAATTTGATACATGAAAATCCTAGAATATTGCTTAATGAATATACATTACTATTTATACTACTACCACTCAAAATGATGATTTGTTTTGGCAGTCACCTAGAAGGGATTGCTGTAGAGTTCTGCCATGGAAAAATAGCTCGACGATGTACATATGGGTGGACAGTTGCCTAGATGGTGAGATTAGTGAAGTGCAGAAGCCGCGGATCATATAGATAGCCTCAAATTTTCGTTCTGGACAAAATTATTATAGCCATGAGTATACAGCTTTCATTTCTTGCTTTCCATGGGCTATGTAAATCTGATACAGGCATATCAAAGACTATAGTTGCTCTACAAATTATAGTTACAATTTGGCACTCGTATACAAAAACTAACATTGCCTATCTTACAACTGGTTTTTCTACTCAATACTAACAAGAACAAGATTTCATAAAACTGACTAATCATAGAGATGATCAGGAAATATGATTCTTTACTCAGTTTTACTCACCGGATGTGCTAGAGTTTCATTGTTCCTTGTGAGATTCAAAGGAGGTGAGTTAACTGGCGATTTTGCAGATGGCAGAATGGCTAGTTCAACGTAAGCACCATTCAGAGACAGTGTCCCAGTTGGATGAATTTCTTCAATTCTGCCATCCTTGACCACCAAATTCACTGAAAGTAGACACAAAAATTCTATCATAAACGTCAGATTCAAGATATTCTTCTCGTTTAGTCATTTTTTTCTTGGTTTCAAGATCAGAATCAAATTGTCAGATGGTCCACTCCGATCTTCTAATAAGAAAAGGTTTACCAAGATCAAAAACAAAAGAATTTTTTTCTTAATCGGAAACTAAAATGAATAGATTATCAAAAATTTGAACCTTAATAATATAAACCAAACTTCAAGAAAGTTTGTAATCGAGTCCAAGTACTCAAACGCAGCATATATAAAAACCAAAATGAGAAAAGAGTTCATGCATTTTTAATTGTTTTATTAAAGAATTACCAGGACGAGAGAACCACCACAGGATGAAGAAACTCATCAAAACAATCAAAGGAATAATATGGACCAACTTGTATGGTGATGGAGAAGATGATCGGAGCTGTGAAACGGGAGTTTCCGAACGTGATTGACGGGGGCCGGAACGGCGAAAGTAGAGGGGAAGATAGCTCGAGTCATCCATGATTCTTCTTGGACAGTGTTTGAGGTGCTGAAGATGAGCTTTGCAGAGAGTAAATCCAGATTCCGTGTGTGTTTATTCTGGGGGGAGTAAAAGTTGTTAGGTTTCGCATCTGGGTTTCGTTGAGTTAGTTAGGCCTGTTAACTACTTTAGGCGGGAAAGGTATTGAAGAGTGATACGCACGTGACTTTTGGCAGTTGATAAGAACTAATTTGACCTTTTGGGTATTTTTTCTAACCATATGGGATCTGTGTTTCCAGAAGATGGACGTATTTCAGAAAATACTCTGTTATATTTGAAAATACTTCTAAGATAAAATTCAATAAAGGCTCTGCATGAGCTTGAAATTAATGTTTCTTTTTCACAATTAGCCTAACAAATAGAAACAATTATTTGTTTAATCAAGTATTCAGAGTCAAATAATTTAGGTTCCTGCAACATCCTTCTACTCTTCATGGCTATAATAATTGTGTGCAGAACGAAAATTTGAGCTTGCGGTTTCTAAAACGGAGAAATTGTCAAATCCTACTCCTACAGACTTAATAGCCAAGAAAACAGGTCTTGTAAGTCATAATAATAACACAAATTGTAGCCTTGAAAAGGTGGCCAATATATGGACTTTACCGTGCACGAACTGTCTTTTCAAAGGAAGTTTTCCCACGAAAACACTATCTTGGAGGATATTACGCTAGCGAAGTTTAAGAATACATAAATATGATTATATGACTAAAATAAAGCTTTGAAAAGATTAAGAGAAGAGAACCCATTATTAAGCTAAACTATTATTTATGGAAAAATGGTTCAGCAAAGAGGCATCTCTGGAATAAGAGCCTCAGCTAGCTCACATGTACAACAGAGATGGAAGAGTAAAAGGGCAAATTTCCTGTATGCGAGTAGCACCTGTTATCTTCTGACAGAACAAAATTTGATAACAAGGCCCTACTACTGCCTGTATATAAACAGTGGAGAAAGGTATGGACCATTTTATTCCTGATTTCGTCTTTCTTCTGGCCTAGTTGCTGCTGGGGGACTCACTGCCACCATTTTTTGGATCAGCAGTTTCCCCAGTTTCTTCGACAAGACAAGGTGGTTTCCTTCGGGCACTTCTGGCTGAAGGGTTTAGGGGATCATATATCTGGGACGCAAGATAACCGAGAGCCATTACAACATCAGATATGGCAGGCCGCATGTTAGGCTGCTCCTGAACGCACATAGCAGCAATGGCAAGAGCTTGGTACAAACCTCTCACAGGATATTGACCTTCAAGCAATGGGTCAACCATTTTGGAAAAGTTCCTTCGGTCTTTGAACATGGGTCGAGCCTGCAAATACATCATAACATTACTAAAAATTCCATACAAGCTCCTTTTATTAATAAATTCTACATGCTCAGATGTCAATTCAATGCATTCTTCAGTTGTTAAAGATTTCAATTATTGAGAAAAGTAATTTACAGTAGGCTGGCATAAACATGGTGCTCATAACTTAATAAGACTACCCGACAATAACTTAAGCAAAAAACTAGAGTACGCTTCCCGCAAGATTAAAAAAGCCACTTTTATAACAATTACGATTCAAAATAGTATACTAATTTAACATAAAATGATGGGGTAAAAAAAACAACTGAAGGAAATGCAATATACTGCAGACAGAAAGTACATCTGAGAGTGTTGCCAACTATGGCAGGAGCATTGACGGGCTGGATGTGACCGTACGAGCATGGTAGAAGTGCAAATCACTGGAACAAACCAGAGGTGGTCAAACTGCAAACGGAAGCTAACTTCCTCAGCAAAAATTCGGAGAGGAAAAACCCCAATAGAAGCCAACTCGGAAAATATAGGCAAAAGTTCACTTGTCAATACAATAAAAACCGTCTAAAATATTTTTTGCTGGGACCAGAAAAAGTTATTATGTACAGGATTTGTAAATATTCATTTAATAAGAAGAAATTACTTAAACTGACAATTTTAAACACCTTATTACTTCTTGATCCTTATTGTGTTGGCATCAACAGACAATGATTGCTACAAAATTATGATCAGAGTTCAACAGATCTTGTCTCTGTTGCAAGCCATGCGCCACTGTTTATTGAGAAACTCACATAAGAAGAAATTATTTTGAAAACGAGCAATGCCCACCGAAAGCAGTTCAGTATATTTTCCATAAGATCTAAATCATAACACATACAGTTTATTAAGGACAACTAGAACCTCGGAATTAATTTGAACAAATGTGCAGATATAAATTAGAAAGAGTAAAAGTAATCTTACCCATGCAACCAGATTTAGCTCCTTTCTATCTTTTGTTTGATCAATTGCTTTCCGACCAGTGATGAGCTCCAAAAGGACAACGCCGAAGCTGTAAATATCTGATTTAAATGTCAGCTGACCAGTCATTGCATAATCCGGTGCACAATACCCGTACGTGCCCATAACCCTTGTGGATACATGTGTCTTATCCCCACTAGGACCTACTTTAGCCAAGCCAAAATCAGATAACTTGGGGTGATACCCCTCACCAAGCAATATGTTAGAACATTTTAGATCACGGTATATAACAGGGGGCTTCATTTTTTCGTGCAAATATTCCAAGCCCCTTGCTGCACCAGCTGCTATTTTCATCCTTGTATTCCAATCAAGTGGTTTTCTATCAGATCGAATATCTGTAAAAATAAAATAAAATGAAATGAAAAAATTGTGGTTAAAGAAGCCCATAAAATAATTGATAGAGCTGACAAAAAATGCAAACTGATACTGTGCTATAAGCTGATTAATGGAACAGTAATTAAATACTAGTTGAATAAATCACATACCAAATAAATGGTTTTCCAAAGATCCTAAGGGCATGTACTCATAAACCAATAGTCTCTGATCGCCTTCAGCACAAAAGCCAATCAATTTTACAAGATTAGGGTGGTCTGCTAAGCTTAATGTCAATACCTCAACAACAAATTCCCTTATCCCTTGAGCTCCATTTCTATCAAGTTGCTTGATAGCGACAACCTGCAAGAAAATAAAAACACCTAAACAAAAATCCAACATTTGAAAGTACAATACTATTCTACACCTGTTGCAAATTTCCTGAGTAAACCTACATTTAACACATATAGTTCATTTTCCAATAATGTTGAAAATCAAGTGAATTTAACCAACCTGGTTGATTCTATCCAAGTGGCCCTTATAAACTTTGCCAAAACCTCCTTCACCCAAAAAACAATCTGACCTAAAATTACCAGTTGCAACCGCAAGTTCTTCAAATGTAAATGTCTCTGCCCTCTTGCCACCGTTTGTATCATCTTCCAAATTTAAGTTCTTTACATCTCTAGATAATTGGTCATCCTTTGAAACCTCCTCTTTCTTTACAGTATCGTGTGAAGCAACCCTTGATGTATCTAAAATACATACACATAAAAAACAGACCAACAAAAAAAAATCATGAGAGACAACAAAGAAAAAGACGCGGGATAAGGAATGTGTTGGAGTTCAAACCAAAAATAAAAAATAAAAATTGAAAGCAGATAGAGAACAAACAAGGACAAGGTAAAAAGGCTTAGCAAAGATTTTGGATTATGTATTGGATTTTCCCCCATCTCATGCAAACTACCAAAAAAAGTAGATAAATATTTACACATTTGATAACAAAATTAAACAATTTTTGCCTGATCAATGCTTAGGATGTAAAAAAGATATTTTTAATACCTATTTGATCAAGATTTTTTAAAAAAAAAAAAAATACCATTATATGATCACATAAAAATAAAGCATGCAGCCAAAAATTTGAAAATGAAAACTAAATTCAAGAATCAATCTTTCCTCAACCGAAACCAAATTCAATATCAACATAATGCTCATAAAACAACAACCCCACAAGAAATTTATTATATTTTCAAAAGAGAGAGAGAAAGAACCAAAACCATCATGATCAAAGAAACACAATGCGTTTCATTTATTTCAAAAATAAAACTTTTTTATAAAAAAAAAAAAAAAGTAAAAGAATAAATGAAGCAGCTTCATACCTGAAGTGGTTTGTCTTTGATCACCTTGTCTAGAATTCTTATTATTATCGTTGATGTTGATATTATCATCCTTGATTGATTTCCCACTGCAACGAAAACAACCCATAATACTACAAAATTTTCTCTCTTCTTTTTATTTTCTCTTCACGGAAGGAACAAAAAATTTCCTCCCTTTTTTCGCTTTTGCGCAGCTAAACGCGAAAAGAAAACAGAACCCACTTCAGAAACCAAGCCAACAAGCATTAAACAACAAATGAAATTAGAGGAAGGGAAGGGGAGCGAAAGAGAGAGAAACAAAAATTGCTAACTGAACATACATACTATTTTGAACCATTTTTACTCCTTTATATTTTTGTGGGTATTATTCCTGTATTTCGCTTAATGAAACTGGTTAATCTATGGACAATCAAATTTCGCCACGTATTTACGAATATATTTTTATGTCATTTCACAGTTACGAGGTGTTACTTAGCTACAGAGTGGATAAAAATTTTAACCAATTACAACCTGCCAACTAAGATTGAAGGGTAGTTTAGTCAGATCAGTTTTTGTCTTCGCTGATGAACAACAACTGTTTTGCATACGCGGCGATTCGGTATTGGTTGGCGGTGATTTGGTGAGCGAGCTCGTTTTGTAAAATTTCTTTGTCCTTTTTTCTAGAAGCTATTTAGCCTATTTCCCATTTATTTCTTCTCTTTGTCGTGTGTCACCCGCCGGTGACGTAAGCAGCTGCCAGACAGCATTTACCACCGTCGATTTTTAGTTAAAAAGGTCAACGCGGTGAAAGTTTTATTTCCAGCGGGACCCACATCGATGCTTACGTTAAAAGGTGGGACCCAAAAACTGAACGGTACGCGTTTTCACATTTAAGGTCTCGAACGGTGATCCACGCGCTCAACTCGCCCACCTTAATTAGCCAATTAAGGCTATCCAATATAACTATGACACTTGTAAGTTCTCGGGTACATCAAAAAGCAGGTGATCGGCGCTCTGAAATAAATTACGGCGTTCAACTTTGACTCGCTAATTTATTAACCGAGGCTAAAATGGAGTTTTTATGTTAATCTATGCCTCACTTTTCAATGCGGCTCGTTAATTAATAATATAATTAAGGGTAAGCGACTTTTGTAAGTGAGAGTTTTAAAATACTATTTTATTATCTAAATTTATTTTTTATTTTTTATTTTAATATTGTTATGATTTTATAGAATCATTATTCTTTTTTCTGGTTATTACTCGTTAAAATTCTTCAAACTCTACTCTCGTCGATCCTATCAATCATTGATAATCAAGTGATTAAAGTTTACACAATCATCTGTTCTAAGTCAAATTATGCTCAATCTCAATCACTAAAATCTAATATTTCAACATCAAATGACTAATCAATCTTTCTTCTTCAAAAACTCTAAAAGCATAAACCGAATTTGCTATTTATCGTCACAAAAATATAAATTTAAATAATAAAATAATATTTTAAAAAATTTACGCGTAAAAAAGAGTTATTTAACCATTGCTAGGGTGGGAAAAAATCGTTACCCTATAATTAATCTAACAATTATATAGCCTCCTTCTGAATTACTATTTTCTTGCATAGAGAATATCACCAAGATTGTCACTTCATTAATTTATTCATCATCTTTTTTCCATTAAACATTGTTGGGGTTATAAATGCACTTCAAATGCTTTGGTGAAGAAAGACTCTCTCCAAAATCGTTTTAAAAGTGTTTAATAAATACTTACCCATAAAACATTAATGCAAATTTTAATCAACTAATCTACCTCTATTCAGCTGCATTTATTCTCATATGCCTTTTCACCTAAACAAATAATGAAAAGCCAAGTACAAATTTTACTTTTCAATCTATTTCCTTGTAAGTTAACTTTAATTATATTAACTGAAACATAATTCTAGGTAATAATCTATGTCCCATATGAATCAGTGTTCAATCAGGATAAGATTTATATCATATCATTTCAGATTTTTCTGTCTCTTTTCTTTTGCCTTTCATAGCAATTATTCTACTTTATTCCAAATTAATCAACATGTCTATCATTAACTTAACACGGAAACTTCTTTTTCTGACCACAAAAATAACCTTATTCAAACTTAATTTTAAAGTATTTCTTTTTCAAATTCTTTTGAGATAATTCCAATGCTGATAATACTCAAAAGAGGGATACTTCAAATGGTTTGCTTGGTGGGTCCATTTGTAAAGAATTGAGAAAAAAAAAAAAAAATCCCATTAATTAAAATACCCAGCAAGTAAAGAAAAATTCAAGTTTAATTAAAGCTAAGTATTTCGTTTAATAACCATACTTAAAAGCATGAATCATCAATTAAGTTTATTTCATATACTCCCCATGAAATCTATTAATATCAAATACACCCATATTAAAATCTGTTAAATAATACCTTATCAAGAGGGTTTATGATAAAAAAAACAAAAACAGATTTTATGAACTCTTAAAACGTCTATATTATAATATTTAGATGGTTTAACAAGAATTCCATAAACATTGATTCCCCAACAATAAAAGGTAGATAAGATTTTTGCCTTTGAAGAAGAAAATAGTTTGATAAAAGATAAGAACATTACGTTAACTTAACATTAACCACATAAATCATAAAAAGATTTTATAATAATCTTCACCTACGTGTTCAAATTTAAATCCAATGAAAGGAATAACACCACTTTGTCTCTTAACTATAAGTTTGGATAGTCGGTGCACCAAATCAATTTTATATACATACATTTTGCAATCACATCATATAAAAAGCTGAACTCATTCACAAAACCATAACAATTTCAACACATGGAGGCCTCGAATCCTAACAAAACCACATTGAGAGACCCAAATGGACACTTGTCAATAACCCACAACTTCAACTATACAGTATGAGATCTTTGAATTAAATGAGATTTTATTTTTAATATAAAGTTTTGTTTTGTGATCGTGAATTGGGGAAATATATTGGTGGAGAAGTGGTGATGGGGGGTTTTTTGTTAGTTTCCAACAGTTTATATATTAATAAAATAATGATAATGATCAAGACAGAGATTTGCGTGTCTTGATAAGACGAAATATAAGTACGCACGTGTCTTGTGATTTGGATAATTGTTGGATCTTAATCCCGAGATTAATCTATAATTTAAAATTTAAATTGCGTAATTCTTGACTTTTCTGTTCAAAATGGATGCTGACTCCATGGGCTTGACTTTTGTGTTAACATGATGTGGACATTTTTAATTCCTCAACTTACACCAAAAAAACACTGGTGGAATGGAACATCATTCATATAATTGGGATTTAATAATTAACCATTAAAGTTAATAAAAATTGAAAATGACAATTACAAGTTCATCCCTGAAGTTTGGCATAAGTCACACTAAAACTTTTTTAGTACCATTTTAGTCACTATCAATATCGTTTTGGTCCCTACCATAACGTTTTAAATCTTTGTTAGTAATGTCTTGATACTTTTCCTTTTATGACCGGGAGTGTTCAGGGCTTACGCATATCTCAATTAATCCCCCAAAGCCTTAGAATTGTCAACTGATTAAAAGTCTCAATAGCTATCCCTATTAGTGCATGTGAGAACTCGAACTTAGGAGGTAGGAACTCATGGAACCTCTTTTTTCTCTTTTACTATCATGTCACCCAGTAGTGGTTAACGTCTTGATAATTGGTCATTAGCAAACATATTAGTGTATGGGAGAACTCGAACTCAGGAGATATGAGCTCATAGAACCTCATTTTTCTCTTTTACCATCATGCCACCCAGTGGTGATTAACATTTTGATACTTTGTCATTAGCAAACCTCAAGGAACAAAAATGTTACTGATAGGGATCTAAACGTTAGTAAAAAAAATGATAAAAGACTAAACTGTTACTTAGACCAAATCTTAGGGACAAAAATGTTATTATTATTCCAAAAAAAAAAAAAAAATCTATCAATAAATGAATGTTATATGATCAATAATTCTTAAAGTTTTTTAGAGAAATATAAAACCAACATGTTATATTCATGGATCCCACTAAAGATTCCTTCTTAATTGACACAGACAATTACTGGTAAGTGTTGTGTGTCTATTACTAATTTGACTTTTACTGTATATTTTCTGTCTTCTCCACAAATTACAACAGTCAACCAAACACAAAAAAGTCTTAAGAATGAAATAATCAATCGGGAAAAATTCAGAAGAAAAAATGACTAAAAAACAAGAACATAAAAAAGGAGTTGGACAGTGTCACCCACCCAACTACTAGTAAAAGAGAGGGACCTTGCAATAAACCCTAATGCCCTTTAGCTAATTAAGGAACTGTCTGTCTTTATTTGTTTTAATTGGGTTGGCTCAAACGCAGCTTCTAGTTCTAGCGGTTCATTTCATTACTTGTCACCCACAATAGTTGACCCACCACAACTGTAACAAACCCTCAAATGGGTAATCTTAAATTTGTGACAACTAACAACAGAAACCCAGTTTCATTACTTTGACAGATGTTTAAATGAGACACTGATTTGATTTCCCTGTTTGAGAGTTGAAATTCATTAAACACGTTGTTTTGAGTTCAAGAAGTTGCTTCGGAATAATGACAAGACGAGACAACACTCAACAATAACATTTCCAGAAAGTGAAAAAAGGCAGTGTAATGTTACGATTTCTTTTGATTTTAATATAAAGAAAAGAAGAAAAGAAAACTGCTGGGGATGGATCAACCTTATCGAGAATTATTGAAGCTTGAATTAGGGGCCACATGGGTTGTCTTATTCATGTGTAAAAACTGCAAGGCTTGCTCCATTGAAACATGATTCGGATAAAATGGCAAAACATTTACGCGCAGAAATTAAAGCTTCTTTGCCCTTGCCCTTTTACTTTCCCTTGAGATGCTTATTGTCTTTTATATATGAGTAAATATGAAGAATAATGTTCCGGCGTTAACTAAAACCATACTAACCCAAATACTAACTGATGTGACAGATCTCTTTTATTGTCACGTCAATTCCCACAAAAACTGAAAAAAAAAAAATTAATTTCAATTGTTAGTACTTGGATTAATATAATTTGGTTAATGCACATAACATTATTCAAATATGAATGAGATTGACCAGTAAAGATATGAGTTTTATAGAAAAAGTTGTAAAGAGTTCATAATCAGTTGAAAAAAGCAAAAACTAACCACACTATAGTGAAAAGTTGATAATTTGTTAAAAAAAAGAAAATGACGTTACTTTAAGAATGAGAATCTAGAATAAATACAACAAGAGGTATCAACTTAAAAATTCGTTAAACCTCGTGTGAAAATATATGGTTTGCTCTTTATATATTATTACTATTACGTAACAACATAACTGAAGGTACAATTCATAATTTCATATTCGAATAATGTTAATTAGGGCAGGTGTATTTTTATCCCGATGATGATGATTGTAGGTTTTCTTTTTATATTTTAGTACCATAAAATTTCATTAAAAAGTTTATGATGTAGGCCATGGATTCATATCATATTTGTTTAATCTTTTACGTTAATGTTTTATTTAAATATTATCATTTTTGTCCTGACTTTAATAAAGTTGACAATTAATACAATATTCTGACTTCTACTTTTTAAGAATCTTTTTTTTTTAAGGAAATTTCTTTTTTTTTTAATATAATTTCCTTAAAAACTTAAACTCCTTGTTCTGCGCGGCTGCGGCCGCCAAGGGTCCACCTATAAGTTTTTTAAAAAAAACCCATGAACTCTTTGTCGTGAAAGTTCCTGAATTAGTGAGGCCCATATAAAAAGAATCACGTTTTGGAAGTACTAGAAAATAGCCCATATTCATTTCAAGTATACGTAAATGACTGATGAGCATTCAGTGGGCTGACTATTTCCCAAACTGGGATTAATAACAAGAGTAAACGACTTTTTCTATCTAAATAATTTTTAATAATACATTTCTTAGTTTTTAAAACACTAGTTTATTATTTAAATTTATATTTTATTTTCGATTTTAGTGTATTTATAATCCCATATCACCACCATTCTCTTCCCTAATCATCACTCACTAAAACCTTCCAAACCTTACTCCTGTCAACCCTACTAAACATCAACAATCAAACGATTAAGATTTACACAATCACCCCCCCCACTTCAAATTTTGATCAATTCTAACCACCAAAATCTAACTTTTTACTGATCTCTCCTCTTCAAAACTCCAACAACCTGAATCGAGTTTTCTCTCCGTTTTTCAACAAAATATAAATTTAAGTAATAAAATAGTATTTTAAAAATCTATAGACAAAAAAATATCATTAAACCATTATTTGGATAAGAAAAAGTCATTAACCCTAACAACAAATATAAATTTACACAATTTACTAAGATGTAGCAAATACTAGAAAGGAGCAAACTCTTTGACGGAAAATAGAGAAAATTATTCCAAACACAGCAAGGAACAGATCTATAGCATAGAGGTTACACCATTCAAGGGGTGATCTCCTACAAGTTCATCAAAGGTTTATAAAAATAACATATAGTATCAAGTATCTTCGCAAAGGTTTCGAACTCGAAGGTCTTTTTTAACCCGTACCTAAAATTCTCTCTAGCAAATACGGAGACAAACCCCTTCCCTACATGGATAGTTGATGCTAGTCTAATGTACACAAATTCACATGCACTATCAGGGACATCGGGTTGATTTCGGATTCTGCATCACTGCTTGTGTCATCTAAGGTTATCTCCTGAATTGTCATCTGAGGTGAGGTCGTTGGTCGAATAATCTTTTCCTGCCTTAGAATCAGACCTGAAACAAAAAAACAATAAGGACCTAGTTGATACAAAATAATATTATCTATGTACAACTCAGCATCATACACTGTTTGTCGAACAAATTGTCCCCTGACACGAGGCCGCTGTTCTGCTAATTTTTTCCTGCTATGATATCGGACCTGAAAAACAGTACAGAAGGAAGAACTAGCTCCATCAAACTATTAAGTCAATAAAAAGTTAAAAAAAAAAAAAAAAAGGCAGTATAAACGGTCTACCAGAAAATACAAAGTTATAAATTATCTGCAGAGAAAAACCTCCGAAGTTCAACTAATCATACTGCTGGTCTTGTCAGTTGTCAATATCATCCCAATCAGATTACAATGGAAAAAAAAAAAAAAGTAATTGAGTTAATCCGAAGTTCTCATGTTCTACAGACATGGGTCTTAACAATGAATCTTCGAGATTGATAATTAAGTGCCAAACAAAACATCCGTCAGAGGTTAAAAGTAATCACATATTGGTTTATCCTACACTCCTTACTAGTTGGGACACTGCACGAAAGTTACTTCACCATTCAATGATAATTCAACATACTTCATCTTTTTTATTTACTGTGCCTGATTCTAACCCATAGAACTGGATATTCTTTTCCAAATGAGTAAGAAATCAGCACCAAACCCTTGGGTTTATTAACACAATAAGAAATCCCAGGGGTTGGCTTAGTGGTAAAAGCCCTTGGTTTCAACTAAGAGGTCAAGGTTGGAGGAATTTTTGGGTATAAAAAGAATAGAGAAAAAACTAGCCCAATAAAAAAATCCAGCAAAACATGTTCCTAGGCAAAACATATTTAGCTACAATGCAAAACGACAAGAAAATGAGTTACCCTCTTCCCGAAACATCTTTCTTTTCTTTTCTGACGAAATTTCATCAAGGCAGCCTCTCTCTGAGCAGCTCGTTCTTCATCAACAATATTCCCACTAACTCCACTTTTTCCAGCCGCCCCTTTGTCACTCTCCAAGTTTGTTATTCCAGCATTCAATCCAGTGCTGCTTCCATTTTGCCCATTGCTGCCATGGTTACTTCCTGAGGCACTACCATTCACACTATAGTTTCCAACATTAGTTTCAGTGGTGCCTTCAAATACATTCGATGAACCACACTGCGGAGCTGCAGCTGCCATATTCTTGACTGAAAGATCATCCTGATCTTGCTGTGACTGATAGTGCTGCACGTTATGATCACGCTGATGATAATGACAGTGGTGGTGCTGGTGATTCTGAACGTGGACCAAATGGTGAGTCCCTCTCAGTTGTGCTTGAATTGTGTTAACTCCCATATCATCTGCCTTCTCAGGTAACACTTGTTGAGAAGAATAAATCCGGCCATTCTGCAAAGATTGGAAGGCAGAATAGTGAAAAGGTTTGAATGCTGAAATAGACTCCGACTTATCGTTCAAAGCTTCTGGTTTGGAGGTAGAATATTTAGCAGTGGAGGCCATGTCATTGTTGTTACTACTTCCATTGGACTGCTGATTGAGAGGAGGGCCATTTGAATGGGATGGAAAATTTTGCATTGTTTCCGTCTTCATTGCAACAGAACCATTATCTAGTGGAGAACAGCTTCCTGCATTCCCTGTGGGAGCCTGGATAGCAGGTAGAATAAACATTAGACCAGTAAAAGAACAGTTTGCCATCCTACACTGATCATTACCATCAGCAGCTTGCTACTAACTGCGAGCCACATTATGAGATAGGAGATGCTGCAATTATACAACTGAAGAATATATAAGGGCACTTCACCATTTCAATGGTTTCCTTTTTCTCAAAATTTGACAGCAGCACCCATCCACATATCAATAGTTGAATGGCTAATGGAATAAGTTACGATTTTGCTTAAATCAAAGAATAGCTATGACAGAAAAAGTTCATAGGTTTCTACAGTCTAGAGTGCTACATCATTACCTGATTTGCAGAAGACGCGGTATTGTATCTGCATATTCAAGTTCAACAACCACAGGTAAAAAATAAAAATAAAAAAAGAGTTTAGGTCCATTGTTACTTGCTAAAAGCACTAAACATGAATATATTAGAGCATTCAAGTTTATATCATACTTTGAGAATGCTGAAAAATCTGAATGTCTCAGAACGTTGCAATCATCATTTGCAGCACTTCGACCAACTTCTACTCCCCGCAGCCTTTTCAGAGTTAGTTCAAGAGATGGCATTTCTCCACAATCACTGGATACTTTGACACGTGAGATGTCAGAAGGGCCATTTATAGCATCAAAGTTACTTCCTTCAGCCAGTGGATTAGTGGCATTTGTACTAATGACACCGGCAGCTTGGTCCCTCCATTTGCCGCGTGCACTTTCATTGTCACGCTGCAGTTGTTCATTGTCAAATGGTCTATTATCTACTTCAGACAATTTACTGTGCCTTTTTCTAGTTTGGTTGGTAAATAACTTCTCTGGATCTTCAGATACTCCTATTTCCAAGTCTTTGCCCATTGCAATGTCATCTTATAGAAAAAAAGAAAAAAAAGCACATGGCATCACTAAAAAGTGCTATTAGGGGGGACAAAAGAGAAAGAGGAAACAAGAAAAAATGTCCAGCAAATAGGACCACAGATATGCAAAAATAGATATTTACCATGTTGTTCATTCTGTTCATGGCCATCTTTTGTTTCACTAACATGCACCCATCCATTGCTAAATGATTCAGGCTTATTATGGATCACCTGGGCACAAATGCTATCAGGAGCATCAGTCAAATGATATGAAGGTGATAGTGGTTGAGGGCTGTCAACGTCAGCTGCTTTTTTCGTCCATGAACTCTGTAAAATGAAAAGAACTATCATGTCTGTTTTTTGTCCTCGGCAATCTCTTGTATGACATAAATTAACAATGTAAAATTCATTAAGTACATTAACAAAGAAAGGGAGAACTGAATAAAAAATTAGATGTATCTACTAAGTCTTCATCTAAAGAGTAGGCACCCAAACAAGTCCCAAAGTCCAAAAGCATTATTATATACTATATCTGTTACAAATAGCTCAACATTTTCTTCTAAATAGGCAGTTTGTATAGATGATCTGTCATTATGCTTATAAGCATCTAAATTCAACAGTTCTTCATGAATTAAGCTTTAACATAATGCCAATTAACCAATAATGAGAACCCTTAATTCAAAGGGCATAGAGTAGAATAAAATTTTAATGACATCACTATATGCTTTTGATTGATGACATCCAGTCTTACAAAGAAAATATGCAGAGATAGCAAAGGCAACTGTAGAATTGATTCAGGATGGAACATTTCTTGCCAATCTAATGGAATGCTCTGATTAACCATATGCATTTGAGCAGCTGAATGAAAATTTATTACCACAAGAAAAATACTAGTACTGATTTATGCACCACCCTCTTCGTGAGCCTGTCTCTCTCTCTCTCTCTCTCTGCGCTTAGATTAATCTCATGCACCGCTCCATCAAATCACACTTCCAAAGTAATTCAAATATTATCTAAAGGCATACACAAAGCAATATCAAGCTACGTAGTATTAAAGACCCATATACAATAACCTGAGTGCCACTCCCATTGTCACTTCCATCCCGAATATTCAGAGTATTATACCCATTATCTTGCTCATCACCACAGCTGCTATTGTTTTCAGAGTCGTTACTTTTAGATTTTGCAGATTTTTTGGTGTGCGTCCCACTTTCACTCCCGCTACCACTAGACTGAGAGAGGATCAGAAATTAGTCCAAACATGAGTAGAAAATCAGCTTAATGGTGATTAAACTGAGACAAAGGTAAATTACATAAATCCACTACCAAACCAAACATCCTTTAAAACCAAATAAATTTTGAAACCTGAATCTATACATATGACAGGATATCAGCCTTACAAGCAAAATCTGGTGCATAAGTTAGGGAATAATTTTATTTCCCAATAAACTATAACCTTGACCTGAGGCAAAAGTCTACATTAGTCCACCAGGTAATTGCATATCTAAAGCAAAAAAGCAGAACACTCACACTGTGGCATCTCCTCCAAACATGTTGCCAGAGATTTTTCAGTTCGTTCTTCCGAATTGGTTTCACAAGAAAGTCAACTGCACCTTTTGACAAACACTTAAAGACTATGCCCATAGAATCTTGAGATGACATCACTGCAAACATAGCTCATCAAATGTCATTGTAATCAATGCAGTAAATCAGAAACATTCATGAGAGAATGANTGCGCTTAGATTAATCTCATGCACCGCTCCATCAAATCACACTTCCAAAGTAATTCAAATATTATCTAAAGGCATACACAAAGCAATATCAAGCTACGTAGTATTAAAGACCCATATACAATAACCTGAGTGCCACTCCCATTGTCACTTCCATCCCGAATATTCAGAGTATTATACCCATTATCTTGCTCATCACCACAGCTGCTATTGTTTTCAGAGTCATTACTTTTCGATTTTGCAGATTTTTTGGTGTGCGTCCCACTTTCACTCCCGCTACCACTAGACTGAGAGAGGATGAGAAATTAGTCCAAACATCAGTAGAAAATCAGCTTAATGGTGATTAAACTGAGACAAAGGTAAAATACATAAATCCACTACCAAACCAAACATCCTTTAAAACCAAATAAATTTTGAAACCTGAATCTATACATATGACAGGATATCAGCCTTACAAGCAAAATCTGGTGCATAAGTTAGGGAATAATTTTATTTCCCAATAAACTATAACCTTGACCTGAGGCAAAAGTCTACATTAGTCCACCAGGTAATTGCATATCTAAAGCAAAAAAGCAGAACACTCACACTGTGGCATCTCCTCCAAACATGTTGCCAGAGATTTTTCAGTTCGTTCTTCCGAATTGGTTTCACAAGAAAGTCAACTGCACCTTTTGACAAACACTTAAAGACTATGCCCATAGAATCTTGAGATGACATCACTGCAAACATAGCTCATCAAATGTCATTGTAATCAATGCAGTAAATCAGAAACATTCATGAGAGAATGAGCCTTACATTTCATGATAATCAATATGGAAAAGAGCAGTAACATGATGCTTACTTATTACAGGAATGTTCTTTCTCGTTTTGTGCATCATTATTTTGCATAGAAGACCAATTCCTGATAAAACGGGCATGACTACCTCCGTTAGAACAATATCAATCTGATTAGAAAGATCTTCAAGAATCTTCCATGCTTGAAGGCCATTTGCAACAGGAGTAACTGCCGATACCAGATCAAGGATATAAGCTTTCATGGATAAATAAAACTGATAAGCATAAAAGTTAAGTTTGACACAACTTCATCCATCCAGCCACAGACATCCACAGAATCACTCCCAGATGACAAATCTCATAGACCTAAAATAGCAGTTCAAAGGAGACTACAATTTTGAATTTGCTTGATATTACTAACAGATTAGGACATTCAAGATTATAATCAGAAGCAAAAATAATATATTTGTTTCTGTGAAAAGGCAAAACATGCTATATAAGCAAAAGTATAATTCAACCCACATTATTCATCATGATAACCAAATAAGCACTAGAGTTCCATAATCATCTATGGAAGAACATGTTCAGCACCGATGGGCAATGATTCCTCATGCTTAAAATAAGAGTCTAAGATGTGTTAGAGCTTGGAATATTTAAATTGAAAAGAACGAATCCATGAACTTCAAACCTAATAAATATATCAAAAAAAAAAAAAAAAGAAATTCATAATTGATTCTCCATAAATATGCAAAAATGTGACTCAATTGGAGTGAAAAATAAAAAAAGATGACTTTATCTCAAACACTTTTAAAAAAAAAAAAAAAAAAAAAAAAAAAAAAAAAAAAAAAACAACTGATAAAAAATTTGCTTCACTAGAAATCTAAGCAAGTTTTGAAGGATGCAGTTTTCAACGTAATACCGGTTTTATATACTATATGACAATTAGATAATGAGATCCATTTGGGTTCTACAAGATTAAGATAAAACTACCTTGAACTAAAAATTATGTGAAGATAAAGTCGATTGCCAATTGAAGTTTCACAACTAAAAACCAAAATGATACATGAGATAGAAGGATCATGTGTCGAATGGAACACAGAGTACTAACCTTCATAACTGCAATTCCGCAGCAAAGCACTGACAACGTGGCGAGTTGAATCGTCATTTTCCACTAGAAGAACCTTCAATGACCTAATAGGCAAGAACCTCTCCCAACAAACCACAGAACCTTGAGGAGGTTGTTGCTGCGATATCTGGAACCCATCATGGACCTGAATTGTCCCTACAGGTCCATTACTAGTGTTTGTAGCTGCATCATCAACCCTCGACTCATCTTCTTCAGACGAGCCCAAACCTTGGCCTTCACCGGCCACACCATTCCTGACTTCTTTTTGCTCGTAACACATATGGCCGTTTAGGTCATAGACCCTTTATTCTAATACCATCTCTTAGTACAACACAATGCATGTATGAGATAACCTGTTTCTTCTAGTATCACACTTGTTCACATTTTTCTCCTCAAAATTGACCTCTACAAACACAAACCATCAGCACAATTTCGCTCCCAGAAAATGTCTAATAAGCAGACACCATAAAAGAAATTGCAAAACTCATTTTAAATCTACCAAAAGTAGCAATATGACCTTAAATCCACTCACAGTCTCACACAGTCACACTTAATATATCCAAACCAAAAATTATACATGTTTATTATGCTCCAGGATTATCAACTAATGACAACTGTATTAGAAATTCAGATACAAAACCAAATGCCTACAACTTCCCTCTACAAATTCTCAAATAAAAAATAAAAATAAAACCTTCTACAAACATAAGCTTGCCAGTGAAAATCACGTCATATATATTACTATATACTCAAAGACAGCTTTAATTCTGAATCTACAATATTCCTGTATCAAGAAGATCAAAACAGGGGAAAATAAGATACAAACCATAATAAGCCAATCAACCAGAGAACAACAATCTATATGTTGTATTATAATATACAGCATAATTATCTACAAGTTAAATGTTAATAGAGCACTGTTTTTTCTAATCAGAAAACAGAGGAAACGAAAATAAAAAATAAATTAAGATCCACCTCCTCAAAAATTTATTCTTTCCTTACCTTTTCTCAGCTTCCAACAGAGTATTAAATATGAAACGAAAGTAAATCGAGAAACGACAACCATAATAGTTAATAAAAAAAAAAAAAATGAACATGATTTAAAAGTCAAAAAAGTTAGAAAATGAACCTGCAGAGATTATCCAGAGTATAAAACCAAGCAGCCATTAGCTTCAAATCTTGAATGAATAAAGTTTAATCGATGATTTTTTTAATTTTTTTTTTTTTTTTTTTTTTTTTTTTTTTTAAATCGTGCTGGTGCTACTTGCAGAAAAAGCTTGACTGTTTAAGAACTGGAGGAGCAAATATTTTAAGGGAGAGCGAAGATATTATTGTGCTGACGTGTAACAAATGGAGGTGTGTAGGGGCTCAGGAGGCCACGTGAGATACGAGGCCCACAGGTCCATACACGTGGAAGATATTTGACCATTGATGAAAAGGTAACATGGACAAAATCAAAAGCTAGGAGTCGAGAGTTCAAGCGCGAATCTAAAAACGATCTTCAAGATCTAATAAAGGACACGTGGCTCGACTCACATGCAGGTAAAAGTCTTCGTTTGCTAATCCTGGGACGTATGGAAAAACCCTAATTTCCTGAAACGACGTAGTGCTGCAGACATGCGAGTCAAACTAGACATAGGCATTTGGTATCGGTCCCAAAAAACCGGTCCTAGGCTTGGGACCAGGCCCATGGAGGAGGGCCGTCCCTAGATCGGGCCCTTCTCCAAGGCCTGAGCCTGGACTCCAAACCCCTTTGCATTTTTTCAAAAAAGTCCTTTGAAAAATATCCAAAAACCCTTTGTAATTTTGAAAATAACAAAAATATTAAGGGTTAAATTGATATTTTACAAAATCTACTAATCTAGAAATGAATTTTTCAGACCCCTAAAAATTACATAAATCCGCCTATATAATTTTATTTAACCCCTAAATATAAAAAGAGTTGGGGGGTGGAACAAAATTTTTAAAAATTCGGATAGATTTCGAATATCCAGTTATCCGATCCGAAAAATCGGATATCCGAAAAACCGGATATCCACATATGTCGGATCGGATACGGATCAGGATATATCCTGATCCGAAAATTTGGATCGGATCAGAAATAAAGCCATTCAGATCGGATATCCGGATTTGAACAGCCCTACATAGGACTAGTCTGGGCCCTAAAATTTCTTATGGGCCTAAGACCAGTCCCAGGCTCATAAGTGACTAGTCCCAAATGGGACCAGTCCCAATCAAGCTCAGACCCGGATTTAGTTGGGACTGGTCCTTGTCTAGGTCTACTGTTAAAAACAGATAGTCCCATTTATCTCAATTGTCTTTTTGGAAACGGGTAGACCTTATCCATAAAAGAATTTTTGTTCTTCATTTTTTTTTTTTCCCTTATTTATTGCTTAGTCATAACCAATAATTGATAACTTTTCCTCCTTTGTTTCATCCCATGAGTCCCTCTCATCTCATGTTGTAAGTACATAAAATTTTGGAAACCAATGATAAGATAAAATAAAATTTTGGACATATATATTCAATTTTCAAACCTAAAAGAGTTAAAAAAAAAAAAAAAATGTAATAGTAACATCAACAAGCTGCAAAATATATACAAGAAGGCTGAAATTTGCAACTGTGTTAGGATTCACAACTGGACCAAACAAATTGTTTTCATGAAAAAGGAACACAAACCCACTAACCAAAACTTTAATTTTTCACGCTCATTTCAAATAAAACCCCCTGATTGGTACACTTTTCAAATCTATGCGTTTGGTTTAGTATTTTGGATAGGATTTTAGGGATAATATTGGGTTATTGGATAGGGGAGTATTACGAGGTAAATTTTAAAAATTTGTAAAAAAGCCTTTAGGTTTACTAATTTAACTAAAGACCCTAACATATAAAATGACAAAAACACCCCCACCACCTGCAGTGTCAGATTCCGGCCACCACCGCCAGAACCTTACCGGAAAATTTCGTCACGGCACAGACCGGACCGGTCTGTGCCGTAACACTTCGTTATGGCCTTTTCCGACCAGATCCATGGTGGATCTGGCCAGAAAAGGCCAGATCTACGGTCTGTTATGGCCGTCGACAGCCGGAAAAGGCCAAACAAGGGCCATCTTTGGCTGTCGCTGACGGCCAGATCTGGCCAGAAAAGGCCACAGTGGTGAACTTCCAGCCATTTCTGGTCGGAAGTTAGGCCGTTTGTACAGATTCCGGCTATCACCGACGGTGGTTGCCGGAATCTGACAAGTTGGGTTGATGGGGGTGTTTTTGTTAATTTTTAAACATTTTTTCAGGGGGTATTTAGTGAAATTAATAACCTTATGGGGTTAAAATGTAATTAAAAAAATAGGGTAATATTTTTGGAATAGTGTACCAAACATTATTTGGAGAATAGGATCCAGAATAGGGATAAAAATATTAAGCCAAACATGCAGTAGTATATTATCCTGTCCTATTGTAAAGAGTAAAAAAGGTGTTTGTTTCTCTATTCATTGAGTTCAATTCAAAATCTAATCATATTCTATTCAACTTAAAACATACAATTACCTTCACAATAAAAATTTATAAATTAAGAAAAACACCCTTACCCACCCAAGCCACTATTAGCCACCAGCAACCACCGCTAGCCGCCAGTCGTCGGTGCTAGAACGACTCACGATCCAAAAGCATGATGGTTGCATCTGCCCTAGCATCATCATTCGGTCAACCTGACCAGGCGACTACATCTCCAATGAGAGCAGATGATTCATCTCATTAATTGTCTGATCAAACACCTTGTGATACTTCATATCCATTCGCCCCGCCTACCCGGCCGAATGGGAAGCTCCAAACAACCAGTTCGCAACACATCATTTGGCGCGACACGCCGAGTGATACAAGCTCTCATGACTTCTCTCACTCGGTTCGATGCACCGAGTTCGGACACCTTTAAATGATACTTCACATCCTCTCACTCGATTCGATGCACTGAGTGAGGATATCTTCACAGGATGTGCCTCACATCCCATCAATTGGTTTGATGCACCGAATTAGAGCATCTTCATGGATATTCGCCGCTCCCCCTTACTCGGTCCAACGCACCAGGCGAGTTCTCCAAGGTCAACTCCATTTTTCCTCTTGGTCAAATACGCCGAGTGAAGGTATGTTTGTGTTTCACCTTTACTCACCCACTCGGCCTAGTATGCCAAGTGCATCACCTACAGTAAAAGCTATATTGTTCGGCTTCACGAACGAAGAAGTAGTACACTCACGTATCCAACCAGTTGATTACGAAGGACGACTATGCATACCTCCACACAACATCTACCCTCTAAGATAAGCACCCCTTAACTTAGAGAGTGCGGGGCAAACTGTTAGGGCCAAAAAATGTTTTTGGCCCAAATAGGCCTGAACAGAAAGACACCTTCAACAAAGCTCGGAGCTCTGGCCTAATTCCGATTGGGCCCATAACTGAGTCTGCATATCAGGTCTGCTCGGTACACCTACCCTGTTGCTCACTACTTGGGCCTATCGGCAAAAGCTCGATTCGCTTAGGCCTCGTCACCAGCTTGTCTAGGCCTAGGCCCTTTGATCCTAGACCACCTACTGTACTTAGGGTCTACTTGGAGCCTAGGGTTGCCTACTTATTTTAGGATTATCTGAACTCTATCGAAGAGGTCCATCACTATCCTAATCCGTCTAAGATCCGTGCCTTAGCCCTGCTAGGACTCATTTTCCCACTAAGGTAAGGGAATCAAAGGTTCTCCTTTTTCACAAAACCTCAACTCCAAGGACTCACAGTCCTACTGGGACTCGAAGATCCTACAATCGCTATTTCAACAGAGGTCAACCCTCTTACAGGAGAAGACATTACACCTTCAGACCCCGTAGTTCTCACTCTTGAAAATTTCGCATCACAGCCATAGTTATAGTCTCCGACTAGACTTCTAGTAACCTTCTATTTCCCTAACCCCCACTAAATTAGTCTCACTCAGCCTTGTTGACTTGAGCGTCGGAGTGCCTACAGCAAACACCATCCCGGTGTTTTCCGTTCGCTTTACGCTTGTTTTCTTGCGTGTATAGCCATAGGTACTACGGATTGCTAGTAGCCTCAACCTCACGGAATCAGACCATATTTCTGTAAAGGTAGATTTTTTGCATTTACGATATGAAACAAATTTTCACAAAAATATGTTCGATATATAATTTATTGAAAAATGTAATATACCATCAACTTTTTATCGTTTCAATTTCCAGAGTTATCATTAATTGGACGACACTCATCTTAAAAAAAAAAAAAAAATACATATTTTATTTATATCAATAAACGAACATTTATCAATCTCATAAAGATATATATTATAAAGCCTCCTTTAATGTGATAAAAAAATATTTGTTTGTTAATACAGATGAGATTTGTGTTCTTTTTTTTATTTAATCTTTAAAATAATTGTCTTCCAATTATAATGAATGATTACGTGACAATATCTCGAACTTATGAAGAGCGGAAACGGCATCGCATAGAGGGGAACCGATTAAAGCTTGAGCAGGAGAGTACACTGTGACTATTGTGTTCTCGGGGAGAGATGGCGTTGGCAAGGTCAGTTGCTGCGAAAGCTTTTAACAAATCAGCAGAAAGTTTCGGTCTCAAATGGACCTATTGTCGCGGTGCCCAAGCTCAATGCATTCGAGCCTTCTCGGCTCTCATGTCGCCGCCGTCCAAGGCCGTGGTGTACGAGCGCGAGGGCCCACCTGACGCCGTCACCAAGTACACCTATACGCACTGATTATCTATTTACATATAATGCGATGGGCATATATTTTTTAGTATAGCACTGAGTGAGTAACTGTGTGTGGAATATTGCAGAGTGATAGACTTACCGCCGGTTGAAGTGAAACAGAATGACGTGTGCGTTAAAATGCTGGCTGCTCCCATCAATCCGTCTGATATCAACCGCATTCAAGGTCAAAGGCTTTTCCTTTCCTTTTCTTTTTTTTTTCTTTTTTTTTTTCCCCTTGTAATATGTAGTTTGTTGATACAATTGAAAATTAAAAATTCTTATGTTTTGATAAATTGTGAATGATTCTATAAAACATATGTTAAGTGAATTGCTACGTTTTCAGAATCATTCTTGTTTGTTGAGTTGTTATTGCATAGACTAAGACTACAATAATTCAAAATTTTACTGTTATGAATTCAGGGGACTGTTTTTCTTTGTATTCTATAGATAAAAGTTAATTGATATAATCAAATTTTTTTCTTTGTTGTATCTTAACGTGCGCCCTCTTAAGAGTATATGTTAAGAAACCTTTATTGAGTGGAAATGGGTGGTGTTATTTAGGAGTGTACCCAGTGAGGCCACAGGTGCCAGCAATCGGAGGATATGAGGGTGTTGGAGAGGTGTACTCAGTGGGCTCAGAGGTTGCAGGTTTATTGCCCGGTGATTGGGTCATTCCATCACCCCCGTCTTCTGGTACATTTTTTTTTTTTCTTTGCTCAACTTTGAAGGTGAAATATGTAGCGAGTTGCTTGAGCTTGTTCAGTGATGATTGTATTTGTTCTACGTAGGGACATGGCAGACTTATGTTGTCAAAGATCAGAGTGTTTGGCACAAAATTAATAAGGTTTCACCTATGGAATATGCTGCAACAATTACTGTTAATCCTTTGACTGCATTAAGGATGCTTGAAGACTTCACGACTCTAAATTCTGGTACGGCCATATGTTCATTTTGATAATGTTGATGCTTTTGTATTTCTTTTACCGTTTCTACTGATTATTCTGGGTATAATCAGGAGATTCTATTGTGCAAAATGGTGCTACAAGCATTGTAGGACAGTGCATAATTCAGATTGCAAAATTTCGTGGCATCCATAGCATTAATATCATAAGGGACAGGTACTTTCGAGTTCAGAAGTAATGTATTAATTTTTTGAGTTTGCGCATCTAAGCTTGTTATAAAGCTATTTGTTTGAAAGTTGATAATTCTGAGCACTATATTTCTCAGTAGGTTCTGTTTATGTTTATGTCTTTAAACTCGTTAATAGTAATCCACTTTCAACTAGGGAATTATGGTATTCATTACCTTTTTTATGCTCCCGAAGACATCACCTTAGAAATGCTCATACATGCATAAAGAAAAGACTTGAAAATTCTCTTACTTCAAGGAAAAAGAAACTGATATATTTGTTGTTAAACAATGGATGCTGGTAACATCCTTCCAAATATTTAGGTAGAAGAGGTCCTATGGCTAGGCACATGCAAAAGTTATAGAAGTTTACAATGTGACAGGAAATGTGTTTTTGATTCATCTCTGTACTTTCTGAAGTTCTGTAATCTGATGAATGATGCCTGCATAACTTCACTTACCATCTTCAGCTTGCTTCAGGCCAGGATCAGATGAAGCGAAGGAAAAACTTAAAAATATTGGGGCAGATGAAGTTTTTACTGAGAGCCAACTGGAAGTGAAGAATGTCAAGGGTCTCCTGGTATAATAATCTATTTACTCACTATAAGTGGGAAGGTTTTGATCTTCTGGTGTGCCTGGTTTATTAAAGGATTCCATTTTTTTAGTGCGTATTTGTTTCTCACATAACTTAAGCTTGCCATTTTACATCTCCTTACATTCTAGGCTAATTTACCTGAACCTGCTTTGGGATTCAACTGTGTTGGGGGCAATTCTGCTTCTTTGGTTCTCAAATTCTTGAGGTGTAACCTTCAGTACTGAATTATTGAGGAACTGTTGGGTTTAAATTTAATCTCTCTTAGGAAAGCAATAACTTCTCATTTGCAGACAGGGAGGAACTATGGTAACTTATGGTGGAATGTCAAAGAAACCTGTCACCGTATCAACTTCATCCTTCATTTTTAAGGTAAGCCATGGTTTTCCCATTCTTTTCTTATTGTTACAGTGTGTTGATGTCTTTTCAGGTTATGTTTGTACAAGCCTGGGCAGAACAATTATTTGTTTCTAAAAACACAATTCATGGGATCATCCTCGAGTTCATTGTCCTAAATATACTTTTTTTGCAGGATCTTTCCTTGAAGGGTTTTTGGTTGCAGAAATGGCTAAGTTCAGATAAAGCTACGGAGTGCAGAAATATGATAGATTATCTTCTGTGCCTTGTACGGGAAGGGAAGTTGAAATATGAGTATGTTCTCCTTCATAGACAAACTCAACCTCTTCTTTTTGGTTAACTTGGCAGTTTAATATCTGTCAATAAGCATGAGCCATCTATTTTATCAGTTGAGGTGCTCCACTTTGCAGGATGGAATTGGTTCCTTTTGACAATTTTCAGATTGCACTGGATAAAGCACTTGGATCACAGGGTAGCCAACCTAAACAAGTACTGAAGTTTTAGTCGGGATGTAATAGCACTCTAAAATTCTACCTGCAAAAAGGGAAAATCAAATTACAACTCAGATAAAGTTGATCAGGTCTTCCACATTACACCATCTTGTATGTTGTACAATATGGAACATATTTTATTACTGAACTATTAACTGCAATGTAATTATGTTGAGCAAGATCTTATTTCACTGTCAAATTAAATAAAAAATTACTTTTATTTTGCTTTTCCCTTTGTAATTATGTTTTCCGCTGATAAATTGGGCGCCGATCTTGCAACCTTCCACGGTTGTGATGGGCACAGCAGGTGTTCTACACTTTGATTATTGAATTCAAGATGCGAGGCAAAACAATGAGACGAAAAAATAGTTGATTGGCAAGAGCATGATGTAAGTTATATAAAAAAGAACTCTTATTCAACTGTGTAACTATATCGGTAATTTAAATAACCTCTAGGGTCATGTTTGGTTCATTTTTTTTATCCATATTCCCAATCCTATTCCCCAAATATTGTTTGACATATTATTCCAGAAATTTTACTATATTTTTTTAATTACATTTAGACCCCTTAAGCTTATTAATTTCATTAAATACCCCCAGAAAAAAAGTTTAAAAATTAACAAAAACATCCCCACCAACCCATACTTACCAGATTCCGGCAACCATCGTCGGTGGTTGCCGGAATCTGTACAACGGCCTACCTACCGACCAGAAATGGCGAGAAGTTCACCGATCTGGCCTTTTCTGCAAGATCCATCACGGATCTAGCCGTCAACGATGGCCAAAGAAATGGCCATCGTTGACGATCAACGACGGCCAAAGAAATGGCCATCGTTGACGATCAACGACGGCCAAATCTTGGCTATCATTGACCGAAAACGACGGCCACCAAAGATGGACTTCTTTTGACGTTTTCCGACGGTCGACGACAACATTTGGTCGTAGATCTGGCTTTTTCCGACCAGATCTACGACCAAATGTTGTCGTCGACCGTCGGAAAATGTCAAAAGAAGTCCATCTTTGGTGGCCGGTGGATCTGGTCGGAAAAGGCCATTGCGACGCGTTACAACACAGATCCGACAGGTTTGTGTCGTAACGAAATTTTTCGGTTAGATTCCAACGGTGGTGGCCGGTCGGAATCTGGCACTGTAGGTAGTGGGGTGTTTTTGTTATTTTATATATTAGGGTCTTTAATTAAATTAGCAAACCAAAGGGCTTTTTCATAAATTTTTAAAGTTTACCTCCTAATACTCCCCTATCCAACTACCCAATATTATTCCCAAAATCCTATCCAAAATAATGAACCAAACACACCCTAGGTTATCATAATTCTTGACGAAAATGATGTTATTAAACTGAATTGACTTGTACATGATAGAACAACCTTTAATCAAAAATAATTAATAGCTGTGTTTGAAACAATGAGGCAAAAAAATCTTGATCGAATATGGGCACATAGACTTTTAATGGGTGACTTCCTTTCTCAATATGTAGTCCACAGCCTCTTCTACGGTGTCAACAACCTGCAAAATACGGCATAAACGATTTGACTTAGGCAACCTCAAACAAAAGTATGATTAAATAGCAATTCAACACCAAATTATTGATACTACACTTTCCACCCACTCAGATAGCTGGTTTCTCTAGTCATCAAGAAGCCAGGGTAAAGGCAAAGGTAGAGTGGATTGCAGTTTCAGGCATCTTTTGGTTATCCAATGATAGCCCAGGAATTTGACAAGGGAGGGAAACTTGAAAGAAGAGGAGGGAAAAACAAAAAGAAAAGAAAAGATGTGGCTGTGTGTTTATTGCCTTGTTTTGATACTATTTATATTAATACATATAGCAAGGAAAGTACATTTGTACAGACACTTTACAGGAACTCATCAACTGCTTACCAGATCTGCCGGAAACTTGGCATGGTTTTCCTTTCCCTTGAAAACCCCTGTCCTAGTCAAAATTGAAAACCAGGGTCGTCCAGCCTGAAATGTAAAACAAAATCCAGTGTTCTACTCAAATATCTGAACAAAATATGTAGTTCATATTACTGACACAAAAATATGAACCAACATTTGTAAGCCAAGTGAGACAAACCTGGCGTGCACCATTGATGTCAACCGAAGGGTTATCTCCTACCATATATAGTGTTTTGAAAAGATGACTTTGAGGAGTTGCACGATTCACATCATGAGCATTAGGATGAAGAGATGACACTAGTTGCTTTAGCACAGTTTCAGCATTCTGGAATACTGATGGATTTGGCTTGCCAAAAGAAGTATATTCCAGAGCTTTGGGGTGGATTCTGCATATTTAACTAGAGGCATTATTCATGGAATCACATGATATTGATAATTTAGAAGTCTATGGCAGGCCAGCAAAGACATGATATAGGGGTTAAATTTTTCAACATTTTATGTCTATTCATCCCAACTCAGTAAAAGTTTTCTGGCTCTAAAATGCACATAGTACCCTAAAACTCATTTGAGCAATTGTACTCATTCAGTTATTGCCCATCCATAGGAGGCCCTCCAAGAGAACACTAGTGATTCGCTGAAAATATTCAAAGGGTATAGCATCAGCAAGTGGAGTTGTCTTACCTATTGAAGATGGATTCTAAAGCAATTCTGAAAGCTCCCATACCAAGACGTTCAATAGGGAAAGTAGCCTACCTTTCGTGGCACACTGTCAGTACATCACTAGTTTTCCAAATGATTTTGCAGCAAGAACACAAGAAACAGATATTAACCTCTATAGTCAACATCGTAACAAACCTGGTATTCAAGATCATCATTTGCAAAATATAGATGAGGTTGGTGTCCAGTTTCCCTTCCAGGAAGACCTCCAGTTCTTAAAATGTCGCAAAGAACCTAATAGTGACATCTATCACCAGTTAACTCAAGAGTCCAAGCATCATATTTCAACAAGAACGTTAGATTACATAATTCAATTAAAAAGAAGCCACTGTATAGAAGATATAAAAAATGAATAAATTGGAAAAGGAGCAAGTTTAGAACCACTAGAAAATAACAACATTAAAGTCCCCCTCAAACCTCCAATATAGGGCCACTCAAGGCATTCGCTAGACACTATAGTTCTAAGCACTAAAACAAGCTAAACAACCATCACTACAATCCAGTTCAGCTACTATTAAATCATTTCTCAGGAGCAGTAAGATCTGCAAGCTGAAAAGATCCAGAGGTTGGACTGTTCAGGCCTCTTGACACTACCTGTATCATTCTAAGAAAACTAGTCTCACTATTCATGGTCCATTCAAATATAGCATTGTCATACTTTTGGACACCAATACAGCAGCATTAGTACCAAAGGAGAGGCCTATGGTATATTCTTAACTGTTCTTCTAGTGTGTAACAAGCCATAGTGCTCTGCATCTCATACCAGCTATATGGTTCATAACTTAATCAGAAGTCCTCTCAGTGAATGCAAATAAGATAAGAAAGACATAAGGCAACCTGAATGTCTCTGCTCCAGTCAACAGGTTCACTAACAATAAATGCTGCCTGAACTCTCTGAGAGTAAATTCTTGAAGCCATCTCTTTAGATGTTATATTTTGATTAGCAGCATGTTTAATTGTCCATTTCTTATAGTGTGCCAGTGGATCAATGTTGTCAAAGTAGGATGCATACTCATCTATTGAAAGAACATTTCTGCAGATAAATCAATACACAAATAAGTGAGTTAGGGCTAAAAACTCAGGCTACAAAATTCTTGAAGGCTTAGGCAAATATCGGTAAAGGAAGCAGATAATCCAAGAAATCAGACAAGTCACAAAAGCTTACTTAAATCCATATTCAGTCATCACTGCAGCAGGTTCACCTTTACCAACAGCAACAATCAACTCATTCTCAAATCTGTAGTAAATATGTAATCAACATAGAGACAAACATACTGAGATCCAAAAAAAAAAAAAAAATACTGAACACAGATATGAACATCTTACTTATTCTATTTATCATTCATTTTATATTTTTTCCTTACTTCAACTCTGGTACGCATGCTCACATGTTATTTCATTGGCTTGTAAATTTCTTTAATTTGGATACCCAAAAGTCCCATTCCCTTATCACTGAGTTTTAAACTGAGAAGCAAGAGTTACTTGCAGCCTGGGTAGGCCTTACAACCATGGTAACCAAGAACTAGTGTGATATAACTATTACAAAGTCAGATGCCCCCAGGAAATTGAACCTCTGACCTCTTGTACAAAGGTTCTTAACCACTCAACCAAACCCTGGGGTTATATTTTACATTTATCATCACCTTGGTGAGCTTACAGATACAACTTAAGTTTATTTCATGAAACAGTTTATGGGATGAATAAAATCAAGGGCATATGATCTTTGCTTCAAAAGAGGTCTAGATGCCTGATGGGCGAACATGTGATACCAACCCTCTACTTCCAAAACAAATCGATTCCTTTTTGGATGCAACTATATTCTATTTCTAGTCTCTCAAACAATGCTGTAACACATAATATAAATTTAAATCTAATTAATATTTCAGGGATCCTCAATGTCAGCATGAATATAAAGTCCTTGAAACTTGGTAATTAGCCATAAATCATACTCAATATAAACGCCTACCTATTGACCAGCTGTTTAAAAGGTGAATGGCCTTGTACGACCTGCATTGTAATCACAATTTAAAGAGCTGATCAATGCAAAAGAGCTAAGCGCTATAATAAAAAAAAGAAAGCAGAGTTTGGAGTCAGATATAGTTTAAAAAATAAAAAAGTAGCAGAACCTGTGAAGGTAGAACATTTACACCCAGAAGTTTACTCAACTCAGAGGCTCTTTTAGATTCACGAAAACCACCTCCTGTTGAGATTCAGAATCGTTGCCAATGAACTTATTAAAAATGCATTATTTAGTTCTTCAATAACCAATATGTAAATCAACGCCAAAATTTATACACAATCAATACAATATTAATCATCAGCAGAATCCCAAGACAGAAGAATCCAAAAATAAACTAAACAACTTACCATTAGTCAAGAACACATAAGGAATCTTCAAATCACCTGCCCACAATATGGAAAAAAAAAAAAAAAAAAAAGTGGGTGAAAAAAGGTTCAGCTTTATAATTTCCAAAAAAGTTAAACAATATTTCAGGTGAGTCAGTACCAGATTCTTGGTAGAGTCTCTTAAGAGCCGAAGGAGAGCCACCAATAGGCGTGTTGCCTAACAGAAGGACGCCGTCGATATCGAAGGCAATACCAAATGAAGGTCTGTTTTTAAGAATGGAGCTTTAAATCAATGAATGTTTTTGAGAAAAGAATTAAATAGAAGCGTAGAAGGCGTACCGTTGGGATTGCGAGGAGACTTGTGAGAATGGACGAAAAGTAGTTGTGGAGTTGAATAGTGAGGATATATTATTTGTGTTTCGACTCTGTAGAGCTTTTCTCAAGATTGAGAATCTCATTTTTGTTTTGCTCTCAATCGATCTTGACAGCAGTTTGAGTGAAGAAGAGAAAGGTTATTGAAGCTCTCTCCACTGTCCTTGAACTGTATTTTTCTCATTTTTACAATTTTTTTTTTTTATATATATTTTAAAGGAAAATAATAGAGACACGGGAAATAGTGCACCGAATCTGTGTACCTAATGACGTCTAATGACATAGTAAAATTCTGATCATCGATTAATTATAACTTAATATTAATCAACGATCAAGATTATATCACGTTATTTGGTGCACTACTCTTAGTGACTGTAACATTACTCTATTTTAAATTAACGGAACGGAGTTTCTGGGTGTATGTAGTATGTACATGTCGTCTCCAATTCTCTTATATTATTTTTACGATTAAAAATATAAAATTAAATAAATTATATTAGATAAATAGATAATACAGTAATCTTCCTGTACTGTAAGTCACGAACAAAAATAAATTTTAGTTACGTTAATTTTTTATTTTGACAACAATGACTCTTACGTGTAAAGTATTAAAAGAGTTTTAAAAATTATACGTGATTGATCTATGAGATTTGAATATGGTACTGAAATTATATATATTACAGAAACATAAATAATAGACTGACAAGAGAGGTTTTTATAGTGGTTCGAATGCTTAAAGTAAATCCTACGTCCACTGTTATTTTATTATTCTCTAATTATTTTTATGATATTGCCCGTAAGTCATACAAAGATGAATAAATATTTTGTTTTACATAAAGAAATAATGAAGCTCAAATCTATATCTAGCTCTCATATTCCCAACCTCCTTTTTTCGTGAAAAGAGGTGCTCATTTATACACCTTCTAGGTCAATGTAATGAGTGTTTCTGCAAGTTGTCATGACACATGGGGATCATTCTCTAATCCTTATCTTTTTATTTTGATAAAGTTGGGACAAGTGTGCGGTCCTTATTCACTCATAGATAAAATTTGAGTCTGTTGGGTTAGTGAAAGCCGCATCTCTTCTATCTTGGGACAATATGACAGCTCATAGATAATACAAAGTCTTTCTAAGCTCTGATTGATTGATGTGAACATCAGTGTGATCTTTTAAACATGAGAATTTATGAAACTTTTTGGGTGAAAAAGAGTCGTTAAGGCAAACCTTGGGTGGGAAAAAATCGTTTACTACACAAATGGATTAGTTTTAATTTTTTATGTGTGACAAGAAAATATTCACATATTTTATTTATTATTGGTGGTCATTCAAAACCTCTGAATAGTCTTAAGATTTTATCATGCGACCACGACCAAGTGGTTAACTTGGTGTTGTTTCTACGCTATTTTATGGCTTCACGCCCAGTAATTGTATTAAGCTAAATAGAGAGATTAATTAGCTACAACTTCAATGTGAAGAAACCTTTTAGTGAAATTCATCATAAATATGTTTAATCATATGTCAATTATAAATCTGCTGCAACTATAATATGAGAATCTGAGCCTTGTGACTCACTGTAAACTTTCCACCTGCTTAATCACTGAGACATAAAAAAAGAAAAAAGGGTCCAGAAGTTCTTCAACATGCACCTGATAATGTACAAACCCTATATAACTATCAACAAGCCCATCTGTTTAATAAGATTACTAGAGAGAACGGGCCTCATCTACCTGGATGGACATAATTTTTTTTTACTGCTTATACATAAGCATAGATGAATAGAAATACCAGAAATATTTCATTGAAGTAACTTCCAAATACAGCCTTACATGACATCCAGGCATCCAAAATATTCCAGATCAAAGATAAAGGTACTACAAATATAGAAAAATACTTCCACTCCGGGAAACAGAAACAGCACATCGTTGCTCCTTCTGTTTTCTATATTTTGGTATTATTTTGTTCTTCAACATTAATAAAATTGAATGTACAATATACAAACACAGCCTAGGAGAGCATAGCCTTGTTTTATGCATACAAACCCAAGATCCAGTTACTTATATAAATCCATACTGCAATTCCACCCTATCTATCAATAGTCAGTACACGAAGGGAGAACCCATCTCCCAATTTTTTATGGTTAAACCGAATTTCTACACATATGATATATATGCAAGCATTACAAGCCATAATCAACCCTCCAGATCACTCTTAATATAACAAACAACAGAAACAAAGGACAGGTGCCAGTCACATCACTCAATCATCTTATCGGGGTTGAACTTCATACACTCCCTAAAAATGAGTTCCTTTATATCTTCTTCATTCAAGGTTGTCTGTTCAAAATCAAAGATGAAAGGATACAGGCAAGTGGGCTCCTCGTTGATCTCATGAAGACTTGATAGATATGGATGGTTCAATGCTTCCTCAACTTTACATGCATCATAAGAAGAGATGTTCATATCAATAAGAGAATGAGAAAACTTAATAGGTTTATTGCAGATATATTATGCTAAAAGGCATACCAGTTATCCGTTTGGCTGGATCAAAAACTAGCATTTTCTCAGCAAGATCAATTGCCAATGGAGACATGCTTGGGAACTTCAGAGAAAAGGGTTGCTTGGGTACATGAGGAAGCTGCTTGACATACTTCCGAGCATTATCACTTCTTAGGAATCCAAGATCTGAATCATCTGGTGAACCTAACAACTATTTTGGAAAAAATCAAGAAATTTGTTGTCATTAACATCAGATATAATACCTTACCAACTAAGATATGCAACTAGTCCAGCACTTCTTGAAACACCTATACTACATCTTTACCATAAGTATGCTACTAATAGTTTCAAAAGTTGGTTAGTAGATACCAACAAAGGATGAGTACCTCAGTTATAAGTGTCAACTGCTGAACATAGTCTTTACCAGGAAAAAGAGGCTCCCTTCTAATAATTTCCATGAGAATGCAACCAACAGACCAAATATCAATAGCTGCAGTATACTCTGAGCAGTTCAGCAGCAATTCAGGGGCTCGATACCAACGAGTGACTACATACTCTGTCATGAAATCTGTCTCTGAAGTGGTTCTTGCAAGCCCAAAGTCACAAATTTTGAGATCACAGTTTGCATCAAGAAGCAGGTTGCTGGGTTTTAAATCCCGGTGCAATACATTTGCAGAGTGTATGTACTTCAGTCCCCGCAACAGTTGGTACAGGAAATACTGCCAAAGGCATTAAACAAGCTATTTTTAGTTGTTGCCATTTATTGGTTGACTCAAGCTAATTTGTCAAACATATAACTGATTTCAGACGCCTTCAAGCTCATATATAGCCATTCCATTAGATTTTGAACTGGATAATAAACAATGAATCAAATAGACATAATTTTGGCAATGGAATGCTCATGAAATGCAATTCACAATAAGAAAGAAAGAGACATAATTTTCGCTCCTTGATCATATTTAAGGATAAGAAAGGATAAACTATCAGCCTCTAGTGCAATATGTGGCTTCTCTTTCTAGTACAACAGTATTAACCATCTTAGTATAGCTGGTTGAGCAATTCAGCATGTGAAAAATCTGTTTCCAACTCTAAGCAGTGTTGAAACACTATGATACACACTTGTCATATATTACTGTTCCGAAGAACTTTACCTCTTCAGTCAAAGAAAATAGATTATCAGTTAATTCACTTCATAGGGAAATCATTAAAAATGTATATTTGTGTAAATGATATGCTTTACAACAGGGTTGTTATACATTTTTTTATAATAAAATGACGACGCTATCTTTAAACTCATCCAAATTCCATATTTGATGCAAACCATCTTACTGACATGTCAAAAGTGAAAGCTTCATATGTAAATGGTTTTGATAGCAGAATGTGTATTTCAGAAGTATAAAATATTGTATTAAACTACATAACTTGTAGAACAATTGCATGATCAAGTACAAAGTACAGAGTATAGAAGGCAACACCGTTGACGAGAAGAGCAACAGGGTTCAAGAAGTAGGTTGTGTTATCCATTAAGTTTTGTTTAGATCTTCCACAGGAAATGAATAAGGTGAGAGCATCAAGTTTTTTAATCCTTTCTAAGACAAATCTTATTTCTTTTCAGCCTGAATAAATCATTCACGAAAAATAATTATTTGGCATGTTAAGGAAGGATGAAACTATGTTTCCTCTAAATGATGTTACAAACTTGTAAATCAAACATCCGTTCAGTCTGTAAAAACATTACTAAGCTTTTTCATTTGGTACAGAAGTACTCACAAAAACTGGCTGAGCACGTTAACTCACAAAAATATTGCAAGCCAGCTCACAATTTGATATTTGAAACAATCTTACCGACCCACCATCTGGATGAATTTTTTTTCTCTATAGAGCAAACATGTGATGCAAAGAGCTCATTTAATTAGACAAACCACTAGTTTGTGAATAGAAAACAAATCCAACCAATTTACCTGACAGTGATCATCTGTTAAAGCCTGGTTGGAGCGAATTATCTGATGTAGATCAGTATCCATCAATTCATAAACAATATAAACATCATTGAACTTTTCCTTATCCATTGGCGGAATTATGTCCTTAATCTTGATAACCTGCAACATACAACTGCCTTAATCTCTCTAGTTTAAGGCACAAGAAAATACAAATAATCTGTTTTGCAAATCAGACACAATCAATTCACAAACACATCAAAAAAGAGAAAGTTTAGTGAAGTACATACATTGTCATGATCCATGTGGCCAAGGAGTTTGATCTCGCGGAGAGTTCTCTTAGCATCAATTCTGTTATCAAATGCATTCGTAATCTTTTTTATAGCAACAGATTCTTTTGTCTCAGAATTTGTTGCACTACTGCATCAGAGAACAAGTTTTACCACATCAATTATGTTAGTATCTGAAAATTAAATTCAATTTTAAACATAATAAATAGACGATTTGATAGAAAGAACAGACAGAATATCATCCTAAAAACACGCAATCAAAACAATATTAAATTAAATTAAACAAAAAAAATCCTCACCTTAGCAAAGCCAAAAATATCCGTCCAAATGTCCAATTTCCAAACAGTATAAAATATACTAAAGCATAAAATTTGAATCTCTTTTTAAAATAAATCTACTTTTACAAGCTCCAGCAGCTTAAAACTAAAACAGATTGTTTAATTCCAAAAGTTGAAAAACAGAAACAGAAAGTTCAAAAGGAAAGAAAATATACCAAACGATGCCGTATGCGCCGCGACCGACGGGCTGAATAGGAGGCACGTACTTGGAGGAGACTTGGAAAAGGTTTCCTAGAATGTTGTACTGTACGTATCTGCCTCCACACATTGAGATTCCTCTCTCTCCTTTTACAGCAAAATCATTCTCCATCTTGAGAAGTAGAAAACAATAAAAGTTAAGTTCAAAATGAAAGACTTGAGTGTTTTAGGTCAAGTCTGTGCTTTTTATGTTAACAGAGATGATAAAGAGGGGGAAGAGAAGGGGCCCTTCGGGGTGTGCTTTTACAATTGGGTTTTGAAATTTGAATAGATATATGAAATCAAAGGCGTTTTTAAGCTTGACCAATGAATGTATGACTTTGAATTTTAATTCTTACTGATCTTCTACTGGATGAAGTGCGTTGGCCTTCTTCAAACTTTGAAATAATTATCACGTGTCCGAGTAAGATAGTCACAATAGTGCACACGGCTTCTCCGCGAATTTTCTTTTTTACTGATCTTCCACCGGATGATATTTATTACGTGTCTGCGTAAGATAGTCAAAATGGTCTACGCGGCTTCTCCCTGAATTTTCTTTTATTTTTGAGTTGATTAACAATATTTAAAGCGTAGTACTTGTCTCGTTTGCTTAACAATCAGTCTAACTTGTCTAATTGTATGTTGACTAATTATCAATTATTAAAAAAAATTATAAATAAAATTAGGTTTATCGTATTTAAAAAGGAAAAATATTATCTAATGAAAGACTACCGAATGTTATCTCAAGACTACCATGGTTGGTTAACAACATTTAAAGCGTAATACTTGTCTCACAATCATGACATATGAGGCCGCAACTTACATGAGTTTGTGAGTCTAACTTGTTTAATTATTAACTATTGGCCGAACGATTTGTGCATACCCAAAGTTTACCGTAACGACAAGTTGATACCTAAAAGGTTTTGAAACGATAAATAGGTACCTTCCGTTATATTCGGTTAATGATTTTTGTTTATTAATAGTGAAAAGACTAAAATGCCCTTCAAAGTTTCAATTTTTGTTTTTTATAAATTTAAAAATTTCTAAAAAAGCCCCTAGGTTTGCTAATTTAATTAAACACCCCCATATATAAAAAGTTTGTTAAATGACAAAAACACCCCCACCACCCCCAATGCCAGATTCCGGCCACCATCGCCGGAATTTGGGGGTTTTTTGAAAATTTTAAATTTATAAAAAACTAAAATTCAAACTTTTAAGGGCATTTTAGTCTTTTCACTATTAATAAACAGTAATAAACAGAAATCACTAACAGAACATGACGGAAAGTACCTATTTGTCATTTCAAAACCTTTTGGATACCAACTTGTCTTTACGATGAATCTTGGGTATGTGTAAGTCGTTCTCCCTTAACTATTAAAAAAAATTTGTAAATAAAATTAGGTTATGAAGCAATTTTTATCATATTTAAAAAGGAAAAATATTATCTAATCTCAACTTTATTACTTTTTTATGCCACTGATTACATGACGAAGGTAACAATATTTAACGGGAAAAGGATAAAGTGACTTACATATCCTTAGTTTTTTTTTTTTCTTTTGTTCTTTTTTTAAGTGAATTTAGTTCTTAAAATCTAAATTTTAATAATTTTGAAAAACTAACCAACTTTTTTTCATAGGAAATTGAAAAAATGAAATATTTAATATTTAAAACTAAAATAATTTTTTTATAAAATAAAAAATTATTATTTATTTTATAAAAAGAGATAATTTAAATCTTTTATTTAGTATTTAAATTTTTATTATTTATTTTGTAAAAAAAAAAAATGAAATTTGTTTAATTATGTTTGACCCTTATATAATGTTAAATCTATCCTTACATAATTATTTATTGTCCCTTAATTGAACAATTTATAACTTTTGTCCTTCCATACAAAAATCCAAAAAAATTGTATCCTAATTGATAATATCCCTAAGTAAAACCAAATACAAAATTGGATAGCTGTGCATTTTCGTTTTAAAATCTTTAGGGAGCGTTTGGATTATATAATATTTTATTAAAGAGGAATATTATATTAATGGAATAAAAAATCACCTTGAAGATTACTGGGAATGTTTAAAAAATGTGTTTGGTTGGTTTGAATAAATTGGTGAATAATATGTTTGGTTGGGAGGATAAATTATGTTATATAGATCATTAAATTGCCCTCCTTTTTAAATATTAATATAATTTTTTTTAATTATTTTTTGAATAATTTCTTTTAACCTCCAACTTTTCAAATTTAGCAAAAACACCCTAACAACCAAAAATATTTTAAACTTAACAAAAACACCCCAAGCCACTGCCGGCAATCGGCCACCACCGTTAGCGGTCGCCAACAGTGCCACAAATCTAGCCGTGACGCCAGCAGTGCCACATATCTGGCAGCCTCCGACGGCGATCCACGGTGGTGGTTAGCTCTGGGTACAATAACATTTCTGTAAATAATGATAATAACAAGGGCAATGTCATCCGAAAATTTTTAAAAAATGAGGACAAAAATGTATGCATGAGTGAATTTGGTGTTTTGTAAATCTTAATAAATATAAGGCTAATTTGGATCAAATGCTCAACTATTTAGGGGTAATATGGGAAACACAATATATTACCTTGGGTAAGTTTTAATAATAGAGTCTAGACTCCGACCACCCCCCCCCCCCCCCCCCCCCCCCCCCCCCCCCCCCCCCCCCCAAAAAGGTATTAAGGTTCCCGGCAATTGAGAAGTGTAACAATGTGAGCTTAACAAGATTTACTTTACATTTTTTTACCAATATGATTCATTAATGACTTATAAAAAATATTTAATTGGTATTTAAAAGGCTTTATAACCAATGTTCTAAAACTCAGGACAGGTCAGCTAGTTGAACCGATTCGATAGGGTCTTGGCCACAACTCTGGTCCAGTAACACAAGAAACCCGCTTCTACGCATTGACCCACTTTAGACCGTTATCAAACCGGTGTAACAATGTCAGACCAGAGGCAAATCCGATTCACTAAAACTAAAAATCCCTAAAAAAATTCTAACTCTCCATCTTCATTCTTCTCATTGCTATGCTAGATTGTCGATCAACCAACTCAGGCTGCTGCGGTCTATCTGTTGTCCGCTGCCGGAAATTGTGCACTGCACGTCCTTCTTCTTTGTAACTAAAGCCTAGACACCATGGGTGATCGATTCTGGGTATCCTACATTTTTTAAGGAATCGGAATCGGCCCGTTCCTAAAATTTGGAACCGAAACCTATAACACCGGTTCTGGTTCTGGGTACCCAGAAAAATTATTTTACCCCGCATAAGTTTAAAAAATGAAAAAAAACCCTTAATACTTACAAATACCCCCCCGCCTGGCACCCGATTGTTAGAGTAGGTGCCCTAGAGCCAATCAATTATTGTAAAATTGACTCTATAATAAATATTTATTTATCAATAAAATGCATATTTTTCTATATCATGTATGTAATGATATATGTCCTTAGGATGGTAGAACCATGACGAGGGTATCAAGTGTTTCAAATCTTGATAGTGAGAACCCTATGATCACATATGGTGGCCATTCTGATCAAGGACACAGATAATACGGTAAGGCTATCATAGTGTTGAACGACCTTGTCGAAAGGCAGTAATTGATCTCACTTGTCAAGTTTGTTTGCCGACAACCTGGTGCAACGCATGAGTGCTTGTTAAAGGCAAATTCAGTGGACAGACCCACCAGAAGATTCCATATGGATGGTAACCCTAGTGTATATGGAATAAATCCTCTAACGGATGGTGGTGCATGTGATCTTTAGACTTGAGATCACCTGAGCGCCTTGTGCACCAATTGGTGTAGTTTGACACTAGCCCAACGTAGTTCTATTCAGAGCTATCAATACGGTAGTGATTAGTTACATTGAGAAGTGTATCGAGACTATGGTGGATCGACAAAGGATTCATCACTTTTGGGTACTGGAGAAGTTATCTCACAAGGTAATTCAGTAAATGGCAATGACACCAAATCTGTGACCACAGTGGGATTGAGTTGATGCTCAATCCAATTTAATATTTCTGTCATTGGTCCAGAACTGAATACAAACACGTCGAGGATATATGAGGTTGACACTATTCTTGTACCTCAGTCTCGATGAGATAACAGTTGATGAAATCATTTGATTACACGGTAACCATACCATTAACAGGCTGCGGTTTCGTTGAATCCGAATCTATCAGGTGGCCATGATGTCTTGCTAGGGGCTAATCTTGGTATGTGTGTAGTGAGATGATTAATTGGTGTTAATCGCGATATTACACATTGTCGATATGATTAGGAGCCTATGGGTCACACACTTAGAAGATAATTTAAGAATCAATTTGTGAGAAAGGTATTTTCATCTTTTAGGACGAAAGGGTATTTTGGTAATCTCATAGCACAATTAAATTTACTGAGGTTGTTGCCTATATTTAATTTTAATATTAAATACAAATTAGTGAGATTATATTTAAATATATCTATGTATATATTTAAATGAATTATTATTATTAATTGAATGTTAATATATTATTATATATTAATTAATTTTAATAATAATAATAATTAATTAATTAAAATACCATAATGGGTATGTTTGGTTGCAAGGGTAAACTAGGGTTACAGTCTATGGCTATTCCTAAGTGGAATAGGGTTTTAATTGTTGCACTATATAAGTGCAACTTAAAATTAAAACAAAGAGAATTATTCATTTAATTAAAACCCTAGCCACCCTATCTCTCTCCCTCTCAAGAAGAAAACTTTTCTTGTTCTTCTTTCTTGATTCTTGAAGCCCTTGATTGTTCTAGCAAAATAATCAAGGGTTTTGCGGATTATCTTTGTATGGACTTCCGTGAGTATGATCCTACTTTGGATTGATTGGCAAAAAATCACGTGAATAGTAGACCGTGAACTGTGTTCCTGTCCGAAATCAGAGATATTCGAAGGAGCCTCCAAACGTACGTAAGTATTATAATCTTTGAATGGATTTACTTTATATAGATTTTTGTTTATAAACATGTAAACGGTATAATCTATACTCGGATCTAGGCAAAGAAAAGTAATTGATTTACCGATTGAATTTTTGTTTTCCGCTGCGTATGGTAGATCAATTACTTACACGTTAACAAAAAATAAAATTACAAATACATTATACAGCCTTCATGCCCACCACCTCCAATTCAACTTTATCGAAACTAAGAATTTCACATAGTAAATTACAATAATCCATTGATAAATCACAAATTCAAAATTACAAACTCCAAAATTAAAATGATAAAATTACATAACATATAAAATAAGTAACAT